TGGCTAAATGGGTCGATGCCATCACTGGCCTGAAGGTTGATATGTCTTTTGAGAACGACACAGGCCTCATCGCAAACAAGACTTTTCAAGAGTGGAAAGCTCAGTTTCCTGCAATGCCCATATTGGTTACCATTATCAAGCATTTATTGGCAATGAGAGGTCTTAATGAGCCTGTCAATGGTGGCATCGGAGGCTTTTCTATTACTTGTCTTGTTGTAAGTCTTCTACAGAACTTGCCACAGGTAAAGAGTGGAACTATGATACCAGAACATAATCTTGGCGAGATCTTGATGGAATTCCTCGACTTGTATGGCAACGAATTCAACACGCGTACCACCGCCATTTCTGTTAACCCACCTAAACTTTTCCCGAAGGTAAGTAATCCTCTCGATCAGTCCTGTCCTGATACTAATATACCACTAGTCCACAGCTCCTCGCGGCCTTTACAGAGATTTTGATAGCCCGAAATTCTCTATAATCGACCCAAACAGATCCGACAATGATATCTCAGGTGGTTCAAAAAACACTCCCGCAATTCAAGAATGCTTTTCTGCTGCCTATTCTGCTTTGCAGCAGAGTATGAACACATTGCAACACGCTGACCTTAAAACTCGTCAAAATCAAAGTCTTCTTCGATGTATCATTGGTGGGAACTACGAATCCTTCAAGCTTCAAAGAGACCACCTTGCCCACTTACATGAACAAATAGTTGGTCCAATTGAAGATGAGTAGTTATGAGTTCACGTAATGTTCAGGCCCAGAGCCGTGTAACACCTAGTTCATTTCTCGGGACATTCTTTCAGGTCGCTGAGTATGCAGTGCAAAGGGGTGGTTGTTTTATTACCAAGGCGTATGGGTAAAGTCGATCAAGATACCCAATTGGCGTTCAATGCACGAAAGGTCATTGAGTTGTAAAATAGCTTCGCAGATTTCATTGCTTCCCTTTATTTTCCTTATTTTGGCAGACTTGAGTTGGACCGGTTCTGATGATTGTCTCAACTGACCACTGACCTTACCCTAGATGATCGACACGAAGTCAAAGTCAAATGCCATGGATCTTCAATGACAAACAGACGAGGCGCTATCGATCTCTACAAACATGACACGAATACATTACATTGCGCGCAAATACAAATTTATTACTCTTTTATGCTGTCCCAAAACAATACTGATTTCAACTAAATAAACTAACTACTAGTGTGACATACTGATAAAGCTTTTAGGAATTCCCTTTCGACCTTTCAGGTAAGAAGGATGAAATGCAAGATCATAGTCTAGTCGGCGATCTTGATCGAGCTCTTCTAGGGCACGTCAAGATCGCGCAACGGCTTGGATTCTTCTTTTTCGACAACCCTTTCTCACTGTAGTCGCGCTTTATGTGCGGCTATGGAGAGGAGTCACAGGGCAAAAAAAGTGCGGATGCGGGAAGAAAAGAGTGAGATGTTAAGGCGGTGGCTTGTTCTATTTGTGGCAGTAGCGATGCGTCAGCTCGCCAATTATATAATTGCTGCTTGGGTAGAAAGGAAGTTACGATTGACTGTTCTGGTTGAATCGGAAGGATTATGCTGGCGAGGGAGGGGCTCGATGACGATTTATTTTCGTTTGATTTGTTATTTTTATTGGGAAGTTGGAGGGGGAGGTTTATCTCGGGATTATAGGAGATGAACTGTTCATGTTACTTGATGGCTAGTTCTTTGAATGAGGAGTGGAAGATGGATTTTGCAACTTTTGGCGTTTACTGATGTTTTGGGGGAAGGGGCGCGGGGGTTTGATAGATCATTCTCATAGTTTACAATTCAGATCCATCGTCTCAAAAGTGATCGCGGTAGTCTGCGCTCTTGGGTAATACAACCGGATGCAGATGTTGAGGAGCTTTCTTCCTTTTCGTACAATGCTCAAACATTTTCAAGCGTGAATGTTGGTCGGTTGAATTCGGCTTCGCTTGGATGTTGTATTTCTAGAGGCAGCATTGTACTTTCAGTGTTAGATGTGTCGGCATGATTTGTTTACTTAATGTTATAGGAAGCGCTACTATTACTATTTACTATGTACGCTATTCTTTATGATGAATACAATTATAAAACAACTAGATCGAGAGGTCGTTGCTAGAGAAGAGTAGATGTGATCTTGACTCTATTTGAGCATAGTGCGCGTGAGTCCTTATATAATTATTACATTTTGAAGGTTGAATATTGGGAAGTTATCAAAAAACAATAGGAGAAAAGAGGTATCAACGAGATTTCACAGAAAAAGATGCAATTGAAGTCTCGTCGAGAGAACGTCACAATATGAGAGTACAGACTGAAGTGACTGAGGATATTTGTATTTACAGAGAAAAAGAAAAGAAAGAAAATAAAGTTAAGAGCCAAATGAGTGTGGTGTACTTCTCGAATAAAGAAGTACAGAAAGAAATTAGAGAAAGAAAGAAATGAAGTATACAAGAGATACCGAATACAATAGCCTAAAGAAAACGCAAGAGTAGAAAAAAACCCTACTCTTCAACTAACCATCTTATAAACTATAGATCTATGCACATTCGAATGAACATTCACAGACATGTGTATCCTTTGGCTCGCCCAACAAACGACCATCGAAACAAGCGCAATTATCAACCGTGTATGCTTTTCCATTGAAGCTCCAGCGAGGAACCTTGAATCCCCTCTTCTCATCGAAGACATTTCGGAGAATCAGTGATTGGCTCCATCCCTGAGCATCGATGAGGACATCTTGGACGAGCCCGTTTCTAATGGCTCCAATCACGGTACACGTGTTTGAGTAAACGGTTGCGCGGGCGTAAGCAACGAGGTTGTTGGGGTTGGATAGGTCGTTGTTGACGGCCATGGTGTTGGTATTCCAGTTGAGAATACACATTTTGGGGTCGAGTTGCTTGATGCACATGGGGGTGAGGGTGTTGGGATTTGTGGAGATAACAGCTGGAGCTGGGAGGGTTAGTGCTGGGGACAGCACGGCTAGTATTGGGAGGTAGTTGATGAGCTGCATTGTGATAGGTTTAGTGATGAGCAGGTTTTATAGTTTGAGATAGTTCGTAGAAAACGGGGGTTTGAAGTATATGTATAATTTTGAAACGTTCGCTTCGGTGGAATCGAAAATGTTGTTTCCAGAAAAAGCTGTCATATATAGCAACGGTGCTAACAAAGACATAAAGCCTTATCAAAAGAATCCCCCTTTTCTCTCTGAGACAAAGCATCGAAGTTTCTATAAATGAAGATTGTTAATAGTTGAAGCAGGGCAACAAGCTTCACAAGTCATTCGTGCAAGTCGAAGAGATTCTAAATATGGGACAAAGAGAGACAAAGATCAATCAACATTTACCTAGTCTGATTGTCTAAAAGTAGAGTGGTCCTATGACGCAGACTCGAGATTTTGATCTCTCTAATTTTCTGCGTGGAATGTTTACAATTCCGCCTAATGTGCAAATGAAGATAGCAAAGATCGGTAGTGGAGGCCGTGAATAAGAGCCTTGGGTATTGAATTACTCTTTATTCGTTGTTGACAACTAATCGTCTCAGGCCCATTAGGCCTATCCAAACAGCTTCCTCGGTTCTAATAGTTCGACTTCCCTGACCAGGGCACACATTTATCCATCTGTCGAAGACATCCTTTGCCTCTACAACACCCAGTTTCTGTAGTTCTCCATCATTCTTCACAGCCACTTCTAGGCCTGCAACGCCGCCAAATACGACTAGTAGGTGCTTGAACTTCCCTACTTTCTGTTCCTCATCATCATATAGATCTTGGGCATCAACGCCTCGCTCGGAGGTTGCAATAGTCATATCATAACCTCCATCGTATCCACATTCTGTGAACACGTCGCTTAGACATTTGGCTCTCCTAACATTCCATCCCCAATAGTAGCCACCCTCTTCTCTTGGCTCTTCTGGACTTACAGCTTCTGCTGTGATTGTGTCACAAGATTTGTCCTTTGCGGCCTTTTCCCCTTCCGCGTCAAATTTCAGAGTGACTCTGTTGTTTGCTGGTATCTGCTCCGCCACTGTAACTGGGATTCTTAATCCTGCTTCCACAAATGTTCCATGTTCATCTGCGCCAGGTAATGTAGTGCCCTCCCTATACATACACCACTCGTCTGCCCTCAAGTGATGTGGTAAATCTATACTAGGCAACGCGCCTGCCGTTCTTAAGTTCTCATGCATTGGAAATAGATGCTTTCGTAAATTTGGAGGTGTCTCTAGAAAGCTGAGTAGATGGGTAAGAAAATGATCGGGATCTGATTTTGCCGTGTACTCGTCTTCCAGAGGCGGCTTCTGCTGAGAACTATGGGATTTAGTGGCCAGATGCTTAGGCTTCTTCGCAGGACGAGCATTGCCATCGTCAAAAACAATGACTTCATCGACGCAGAAAACTGCGAGGGCGCGGGCAATATGACCCGCCATAGATGTTTTTAGATCATGGCTTTGGGCGCTGAAAAAGTCAGCATGATTTTGTCATTGTTATTTGCAAAGGTAAAGTACTTGGCAATAATACTTCCCGGTAAAGCTACACTAACTGTCCAATCTCGACCTTTCTTGGGTTGAAATACAGCTGTAGGTTTAGAAGTATCAACCGCATCAGGAGCGGTCACTTTCCCGTTAGACATTTGTCCATTGGCCGTGGAATTGGCATTCCCAGTAGCATTGGCTTCAGCCTGGCGCTTCCGCTTCTAATATCAAATACGTAAGTATCCATTGACTGGTTAGTGATATCAAAGAAAACATACCTTTGCGTTGGTCTCTCCTCTACCCATTTTTGTAAATAATTTGGAACCTTTGGATTTCTTTCCAAAATATATATGGAGGCGGTCAAAGGTTATCCCGATAAAGCGGCAGAATCTGATAGTCTATGCGCCCGATAAAGAACCAGACCAGACCAGATCTCCACTTCAAGCTTTCATAAGCTCCATCTGTAAGCAAGCAACAAGACAAACATTCTGACGACTCAATTGCTTGACATTTCAAAACTTGCAGGATATTATTATAACAAAAATGGCGGTACATATCGAATCGTCCATGCAGTTTAGCAAATTGCTAGGCTCATCAACTATAGTTGTTTCCGACTGTAATTTGACTTTCCCCAATGCAATGGATGCATATCACTGACATTACATACAGTTTATGCGGACTGGTGCGGACCCTGCAAAGCCATCGCCCCAACCTATGAATCTCTAGCTACCAAGCACTCGAAGCCAAATCGTGTTACATTTACGAAAGTTAATGTAGATAATCAGCAGTCCATAGCCCAGCGATATGGAGTTAGAGCGTAAGCAAGGCCCTTCGATACTCAACTGAGCTCGTTCTCATAACTCTACTAGCATGCCAACCTTCCTCATCTTTCGATCCGGCGCTGTCATCGAAACTATTCAAGGCGCAGATGTTCGTAAGCTCACGACCGCCATCGAGAATGCTGTGAAACTTGCCGGTGCACCAAAGCCATCCTTCTCCAGCCCAGGACAAACACTGGGTGGATCTGCTCCTACGCGCTCCACGATGGCAAGACAATTCAGCTTTGATAGGCTACTCCACGATATTATCGCATTTTTCGGACTCTACCTCTATTCCCTGTTCTCATTTGATGCATATACCGCAGCAGAGAACTCCCCATTCAATATCCACAAGGTCCCTGCTGCACCGGCAGCAAAATCATCCGGTGCAAGAGCTGGAGCAGCTACCCAGGTCGGAAAGAAACTAGGGACTATCGCTGATTTAGCGGGCAAGGACTGAATGGAATGCGTAGAGTTTACTTAGGCGCTATACGGGTGGCGTAATTTATGATATTATCTTTCGGTTTAAACACCGTTATTCTTGGTGCAATCAATTGAGCAAAGTTTATGCTGGAAAATTATGTTCTGCGAGTTTCTTCTCTTACTGGGCAACCTTACTATTATATTTGCTGTTTGGTGTTATCGGACACATGCTTATTCTGTATATGGCGCCGTATATTGCTGGTTGCCGGAATGAATAGGACTGACCCCCTTATTCTCTCGTTAATGGAAGGTTGTGCTATCCTGTCACTCTATTCAATCTCGGCCTTAAAGGTATTATAACCTAACTCCATACTTATACCTGTCTTTTTCTTTGATATACTGGAAAATGGAGATTCGCTGTGGTGAGGGATAAGCAAGCTAAAACGATGTGTTAAAATTAAGGTTTGCTTAAAACGACTATTCTTCATAATAAACCTGGTCGTCAAAACGATCTTTCAATGTGTTTTTTTGAGTATCTACCGGTAGTTGAGATTACGTGGGGAATCCCTACCCCGCCAGCCTGCACACAGCTGGAGTTGTTGATTGTTGAAGTCTGGACTTAAGTCTAAACTCCGGGTGACGTCAAGCCCTCTGACCTGTATCATAAGTGTATATAAAGGCATCAGTTTCCATGTAAAAAGAGTACTTCATTCTAAATCCACTGCACAAAAGATATCAGCAAGCAAAACTACTCCTTTTCCAACATGGCCAAGAACTTAATGAAATACACCAACCTTGGTGAATCTGGCCTTAGAGTCTCCCGTATCTGCGTAGGCTGCATGACCTTCGGCGATCGTCGGGGAAGCTTCAAAACGTGGGCCGTTGAAGAAGCCGAGGCTCTCCCTATCCTCAAAGCTTGCTATGATTCCGGTATCAACTTTTTCGATACCGCAAATGTTTACAGCAACGGAACATCCGAAGAGATTCTCGGTGCCGCCATCAAGAAGTATGCATTCCCTCGTGAGAACATCGTTGTTGCCACAAAATTGTGTGCGCCGGTTGGCAAGAGGAAGGAAGAGGGATGGGAAAATGTACTTCAGTTGGCACCTGAGGATAGAGATGCAAACGGTTATGTTAATGCGTATGGATTGAGTCGTAAACATATCTTCGATAGCGTAGATGCGAGTTTGAAGCGCTTGGATCTGGATTATATTGATCTACTACAAATTCATCGATTTGACCCCCGCACACCGATAAAGGAGACGATGAAGGCCCTGCATGATGTGGTTGAAAGCGGCAAGGTTAGGTACATTGGTGCGTCAAGTATGTATGCGCATCAGTTGTTGGAAATGCAGTATACGGCGCGACTAAACGGATGGACGGAATTCATCAGTATGCAAAACTTGCATAACGCAGCTTATAGGGAGGAAGAGAGGGAGATGGTGCCGAGTTTGAAGAAGTTTGGTATGGGTATGATTCCGTGGAGTCCGATTATGATGGGGTATCTAGCCAGGCCTCATGATCAGGCTGCAGAAAGCGACAGAGGAAAAGCTATGAATGGGAAGTTCATGGGGAATGAGTTGACGGAGGCGGACTTGAAGATTAATGAGAAGATTCAGGAGATTGCGAAGAAGAGAGGTGTCAGTATGGCGATTGTGGCCATGGCTTGGAGCTTGAGCAAGGAGTATGTTACCGCGCCTATCGTTGGGATGGGAAAGATTGAGAGAGTTCAAGAGGCGGTCGATGCTGTTAATTTTGAATTAACCAAGGAAGAGATAGCGAGCATTGATGAGTTATATCAACCTAGGAAAATCATAGGCTTCTCTTAGGTTTGTGATTGAATATGGAAGCGAGTGTTACTATACTGGATTAAGCAGGGTTGAGAAGTGACAGCCATAAACTCAGATCAAATCAATACACGAATTCAACCTGTACCCCCGAAGAGCTTGAATTCATTTATAACGTATGTGTAGATTAGAACAAGTACACGTTCGAAATTATGATTCAGTGAAACACAGTGTTCAGCATACCTCAAATTTTCATTACCCAAAACTTATAACACCAGAATGCTGTGACATCAAAAATATTCAACGACTCGGAATCAGACATATTGCCAGGTACAAGCCCTCACTGCGAGTAAACTATGTTCACCCATCTTGGAACGGAACTTTACTTCCAACTGCTCATCAAATTCGATCTAGTAGGCTGGAAAAAAAAGCTCGGTAGTCGACCGAGAATCTTCAAGTGGTGAATGACATCGGCTCGAGTGAATAAATTTTTCTAGATAATCTTCCAATATCTCTGTCAAATTGACAATGAACATTACATCTAGACTTTCGCATAGCCCTCCAAGTTATCAGCCGAATATTATTGCTCATCAATCAGTAGGGTATCAAAGATATAGTATTAATTTCAGTTCCTAATCCATCATGAAGACTCTGCCATGATAAGTCCTATAGTAATCCTCAGAGCTCCCAGTGGCCCCTTTTCCTTGACCAGTTTTCCGAACATATCTTTGATCTTACTCAAACTCTTACGATCGTCTTGTTTATGCCCTACACGAGTGTCAGTATCACAAAATCCTCGATGAGATGCCAGGAAGACTGGTACTTACAGCTATTTGGCAAGCCTATATCAAGATCTAGATGACTCTCTACATCACCGATCCAGTCAAAACCAATCTTCCACCCCACTCGAATCTGGACATCATCCCCATCAAGAACAATATTAGTCCGGCCCATCTGTCGGAACAACTCCCTTCTCGTCCATTTTCTGGAGCTCTCTTCTCCCTCCCAATCAGCTACTTCGTCATCTTCAATAGCCTTTCTCTTCTTTCTTTTCTTCCCTTGCTTTTCTATACTTTTCCTCCTAGCTTCTGCTGTCCCAAATTCTCTTTCAGCATCACACCAAAACTTTGCTCTCGCTACGGATACTTCGGTCCACCTCCCCATCGCCCAGCACACTGTACCAATATCTTTTACGTGCGGCCCATCACCACTTGCTCGTCGCCGGATAAATGGTCCGAGTTCAGGCTCTGCGTTGGGATCCAATGAATCCACATTAAGGGAGGATATGGTTAGAGAAGAGGTGTCGACTATCATAGAAAGGCGTGCGATGAAAAGTCCAGAAGGATGGGATGCGGAGATTTGATGGCGTTGTAAGGTCGGTACCAGGAGTTCCGTAGCAGATTCGTTGGATGACATGGGCGCAGCTGGAAGGAGAGTAATATTCGATGTGTATGTCAGATGGCTGAATAGTTGCAAATGCGGAAGTGGATCGTCAAGTGCTACAGGAAGATGGGATGGAAGAGGCTTCTGAATTGGTGGCATAACTGCTTGTCGGGCTTTACGCCGTCCAGCAAATGGCAGAAAAAGATTAGTGGCTTTCAAAGCGCTGATTTTTTCTGGCCTGTCTTGTTTCTCAATTGCAGTTGAGCGTAAGAGTAAATCTAGTATCTCCTCAGGGTTTGATGATCTTGGCGATTTTGTACTTTTTGACTCGTAGTGCAGACGTATCCTTTCATTCTCCTGATTCGCTAAACTGACATCGGCTTGCAATTGCTGCAATTCTTTGAGAAGATCATCTCTAACTTTCCTCTTCGCTGCATGTGGATCATGCGGAATCAAAAATCTAGCCGACTTTCGTCTCTTAGCGGGTGGTTCTTGTGATGTGTCTACTTCTGGCGGAGGTTCTGCAAGTGGTTTCAATGGAGATGACTTCATCTTCGCGCCTAGTGCCTTGTTCCTTCTGGCAGTCTTGCTTGGGCTATTGTGTATTCCAACTGGTGCTGTTGTGACAACTGGGTCTGCGATACCACGCTGCGTGGGTGTCGGTGGCAGGTCAGGCTCTTCTGGTGTTGCGGGTTTCTGCCTTGCTTTAGATGGAGATAGAAATGTCTTTTCCGAGAATGTAAATAGTGGTCGTTGTGTTGGCCTAGGCATAGATAATTGTCGCGCTTTACGCTCGGTGGGAGAGTCATCACTCATCAACGGATTTACATCATCGGACTTTGGAAGCTCAGAAACTCGAGGTTCGTCCTCTGGCTCCTGTTGTTGAGGTACATCAATTACGAAAGGGTCATTTGTTTGCAAGGTCCGTAGTTGAGGTGGTACAGGATCATTTGGAGTCGTAGAAACAACCTGATCGGCGGTGTGCGAGTCAGGCACAATCTCTTCTTCTTCTGAAGCTTGAGAGGGTTCGGCAGGGCTCGCAGGCAAAGCAGATTCTGATGATTGTGCAACCTGGGTACCCGGAACACTTCTAGACCCAAAAGCTTGAGAAGAACGAAGTTGACTTGACCCTCGGCTCCTAATGACCACTTCCTCTGGAGCTCTCAGATAAGGCTCTAAAGCTTGAACGGGTACTGGATCTTTCGGCGTAGTTGAAGCATATACAGGTGTCGGTTCTTTGGGTGTCGTTGAAGGAAATACAGGTACTGGGTCCTTTGGAGTGGTAGAGGCATATAAAGGCGCTGAATCTTTTGGAGTGGTAGAGACAGATTCATCCATTTCAATAGACATTTGAGGCACAGTTGTTCCTAAAGCTGGCACTGCAGCAGGTGGTGATCTCCTTAGCCCGGTTTTCTTGAAAGGATTGAAATCCTCTTGCGATTGTTCTTGCGGTTCTACAGTAGGCTGGCTACTTTGCCCCGGTACGGGCGACCTTCTTAACCCCGTCTTTTTGAATGGATTCGCAATTCCCTGAATATTCTCAAATTCTGCCGCGGGCTTGAAATTGCTCCTTGGAGTTTCGGTAGCGATTGGTCGTTTGGCAGGGGAGCTTGACATTCTCCTCGGTTTCGATGCCATTCCACCTCCAATCGATCGAGCTCTCGTAGGTGTCCGAGTAATTGCACCATCTCTGGCTGATCCTGAAATCGGTCGTTCTGCACCAGTAGTAACACTCCTTCCTCTTTCTCGTTGCGGTGTATTTCCCAGCGCTCTATCAAAAGTATTCTGTACTCTCCCTTTACTCGGAGATCTGCCAACTTCCGGTCCTGTAGAAGTGGCTCTGCCGAGTATCTGCGGATTGTGACGTGCTAAGCTTGCCTTCGTTGGAGAGGCAAATGAGGGATAACGCGATGATTGTGAAGGGACGGGAATGCGACTCGGGGTTGGTGGGACATTCGCGGTGGGAATTGGAGTCTTCGAACGACGTGAGGGGGTATTATCTGCCATATCCGCGGGTGTCTTGCGCTATCCCATTGCCGTTTCAATTGGAACAACATGCGTTGTTGTAAAGCAATGTTTACTTTAATTTTGGATCGCGTATTGGGAGGACGCGACGGAGGAATTTCGCGAGACAACTAGAAATATAAAGTTACCACTTCACTACAATCATGACTAAACAGAAATGGTAACATTAATAAATCTTTATCATCTTTTCAAGCTATAACAGTTCTGGGAGGCACTCATAGTCATAATTGAATACAATTACAATTTTGGACCTGGAACGAATGTTGCTGTTTGAATGTGGAGTGAAGTTTCAATACTACTACGGATGCTGACCATTCCAATTCACCAGCGATGACGTTCCTCGAAAACTTTCCGAAGCTTCAATCCCCGAAAAATAAATAATGCGCCCGCCGCCGATTCTTCACCTACGTAGGATTCACCAACCATTTGGAAATCCAACTGCCTCTCTAATGATTTTATGATAACATAAATCCTTTAAATTACTCTACAGAGTATATTTCTCAATACAGCAGCCAAACTACACAACATGGAACAAAGAACCCTACTCCGACTATCACAACGCCTCAAACTCCCATCCTCAATCCGCCAGCTCCCCTCATTTCCGCGCCATGAATCTACATCTAATAAACCAGCCCACCAAGCCCACCCTGTAGGCGACTACTATTCCTTACTCCTCTCCTCGTCTTCGCCAGAAATATCCTCCGCGCCCCCCACTACTGCCTCTCCCTCAAATACGCCTATAACCTCATCTTCTTCCCCTACAGAACCCGCCGCAGACCCCGAACCTGCGATTCTTTTCTCCTCTCGTCTATCCTCCCCTTTAGAACGGCGCTCCGAGATCCTGCGCAAAAGTCAGCGTATAGCAGGAGTGCTCGTCCCGCAGCGCCCAGAAGAACCAGATAATTGTTGTATGAGTGGGTGTGTGAATTGTGTTTGGGATCGCTATCGAGATGAAATAGAGGAATGGGCTGCTGCTAAGAAAGATGCGGATAGAGCGCTGAAGAAAGAAAAGAGGAAAGAAAGTACGGGGATTTTGGCACAGGCGGCTACGAGTATGGATGATGATGGTGGTGGGAGTGAGGGAAATTGGGATATAGGAGGGGATACCGACAATTTATTCGAGGGAGTGCCGGTTGGCATAAGAGCTTTCATGGCGCAGGAAAAGAGGTTGAAGGAAAAGCATCAAAGAGAACGCACGACGGGGTAATGGATATTTCAAGAAGGGGAGGCGGGGTGGAACGGAGACAAATCTTTTCCGCGACTTAGATGGTATCAAATAGAAGAACAAGAGCAAGAAGTACCAGGAGAATATCGGTACACCCGAAGCACCTAGAGATGCTTATCTGGAGTGCAAAATGTTAAGAACCGGGCGCTCACGGCGTAGAGGCATAAGGGAATGCGGTAGATCTCATTTGTGTCTTTGTATCATACTGTAGATAGATCTGCTCAATCACGGATTGGTCTTGTAGAACACACTCTTCACTCATCCCTCGGCACCTTAACGAATAGCACGCCAATGTCAAGAATATCCCTTCAATTATGCGACAAATTTATTCCTTCCATCGAACCTTCCGACTCCGACCCGCTGTCAATATGACACTCAATATCCATTCGCGCTACCTCTCCTTGCCTGAAATACGTCATCCTTCACCATCTAATCGACATCGACACCTTTCGTTCTGAGATCCTTCCTCGCCAACTCAATCTCCTCCATCAATTCGGCATGCGCCTTTGGCACATCGTTAAACGTAAAAACGCCATAGCCCAACTTCCCCAAAAGATACGCTCCGAACGAAACCAACACCCAGAATGGCAACTATTTGCGCAAGAACAATACCAAGTCAGCGATGATATTCTTGATGTGGGCGACGATCGATATTGTGGCTATCGATTTGATCGAGCCATCACGACGGGAAAACAAAGTCGAGGAGGGAGAAGCGGGCGGAGGGAAGGGAAAGGACTCGTATGTCCAATCACCTATGAGAGGGGAGAGAGGAACTTTCTCCCAGTTCTCAGGAAGAGGAAGTTCGGCATCGTGAGCGGGAAGAGATGGTACGGTTATGGTACAAGTAGCCATATCCTTTGCCTCGGTGCGTGCTCATCAAGGGAAAGAAGAGAAGAGAGGAGAGGTGAAGGGTGTAGAAAAGATAATAACACAAACATAACGTACCACAGGAATAACCTCCTCAGAAACCTTTCCAGGAAGAGGTATTAACTCCAAGTAAACTGCCAGGTATAACTAAGTAAAATCCCTCGAATCAGTAATCATTCGTCCATTTCTCTTTCCAATTCCAATCTCGCCCCCCGAATCTGCCGTAACATCCTCCTGTGTGTTTGCAAATTTGCACAGAATAATCCCAACACATGATGACCAATTCACAAAATCAGAGGCAGAAAACATACCGAAGTGACGAGTAAGCCAATAGAGATAGTTTGCTGTGCGCGCGTCATCTTTGCGATTCCGTGTGCGATTGCTCAGGTTCGGGGTTGTTGTGTTTTATAAGGTTAGGGTTTCGGTGTGTGTGATGCGTGTATGAGTTGGCAGTTTCTCAAAGGTGGGCAAAGGAGTGTGGTTCGTAAGGAAAGTTGTGGTTTTGCTTTCTTCTCGGGATTGGGTTGATTTGAGGACAGCTGGAGTTCGTCAGTCGGTCGCGATTGGATTAGAGCCCAAAATTCGACGGTGTCACGTGTCGCTTCTCGAGAATCCTTTCCCCTTTTTTATTATCTTTCTCGGAGGTTGCTTTTCAGATGTATAGGCCATGAACATGATTTTGGGATGATTAGGTTATTTGAAAGGATTTGAAATATTACATATAGTCCATAGGACAATCTTGATTACAAAACTATACGATATATGATAACCAATTCCCCATCCACAAGGGAATTATTACTCCTCCCACTCAGTATCATTCAACGCCCGTTTAAGTACATTGATAGTTCAAGTTAATACAATAGATCACATTCTAATCCACATCTGTCGGACTAGTTTCCTCTGAAGGCATACCCGCAGAGGGTATCCTGTCTCTCAACCATGCCAGTGTAGCCTCTGTCCCTTTCTCTAATATCGTGTATTTTGGCACACGGAATCGATTTCCACTGACATTCAAAGTCTGCAACCCATCTGGTCCACCCATAAGCCCAATCCGCGAGTTTAAACTATTTATTTCATTGCTGCTGCAGTCCAAGTGTCTCAAGCCCTGAACTGCTTCCGGCAGCAATTCGCGGATCGTATTGTTCGATGCCATGAGGAATATCAGGCTAGGGAAATGAGGCTTCAGAACAGGCAACGAAGTTAGACGATTGAAACTGATATCGAGTTTCTCTAAGTTAGGAGCTTTCAGATGCTGTATGAGTGGTTGTAGAGAGTTGAAAGTGTTGGAGCTAAGGTTCAACTCCTTCAACGCAGATAGGTCTAAGTCATCCTTTAGAAACGTGTCGCTCGTCAATTCATTGTGAGCGATACTCAAGGAGGTGAGAGTAGATGCAAAGAAAGCAATAGAGCTGGGTATCTCTTTGAATTGGTTGTGTTGCAAGTGCAAAACTCTGATTGTATCCCGTGCAGCCACTTCTGCAGCTATCACTGGATTGAGGGAGTGAGAAGTCGTGCTAGATCGATCGAGAATCCCTCCATCTTTAACGGGCCAATGAGAAGACGAAGGTCGACTGGAGATGCTTGGGGTACTTGGCTCAGACAAGAACCCGTCTTTCTCTTGCTCTGTTGGTGTAATTCGAGCTCGTAAAGCATTTTTTAGGTCTTCAGTTGACATTGCTGAGAACTTTCTTTCTCTGAGTGGATTTCCACTTATTCGAAAGACGTCAAGACTTTCCATTCGACCGATTCTGTCATCCAGAACTTTAATGTTATTGCCGCTAAAATTGACATTTTTGATCTTGACAAGGTCGACGAATCCAACTGGCAGCTCGGAAAGATTGTTATCCTCGGCTGTAAGCGTTCGTAAAGATACCCAGGAAGCCAAATCTGGAAAAGTTGCAATGCGGTTTGAGGAACAGCTCAGTTGGTGAAGCGAAGGTAGTTCGAGCTCTGATTCGCACAGAGCAGTAATTGCATTACTCGTGACATCCAGAACTTGAAGTTGTGGAAGGCTTTTCACGTCTCCTGTCACGAGAATACCAACGAGGCCGTTCTTGACAGCTATGAGCTCAATGAGAGGTAGATGGCTAAGAATATCAAAAGGCAATGATTGAAATCTGTTCTCGGTGATATTCAGAATTCTCAATCGATCTAATTGTGATAGCGTGTCCGGAAATGTATCAAGAGCGTTATGTTGTAACTCTAGAACTTCGAGATTTTTTAAACACTCTATATCTGGACTTAAAGTCCCACAGAGACCATTGTTGGCTATTTTGAGTTCCCGCAAAGAATTGATCTGCGTAACGATTGGGAGGCACTCATTACCTAATTTATTGTTTGACTACTGAAAATTAGCAATTGATTATTCTGATGCGTCAAATTTTGACTAGCCAACTTACCAGATTCAAAGATGTCAGGTTCTCAAGTCTACGTAGACCCAGAGGGATCTCTTTCAACAGATTGCCATGCAAATCCAATATCTCAAGGCCACCAAAAATGTTGCCTTCGTATTCATCATCTTCCATGGCTTCACGTGGGTCGATATCCGGAAAGATGTTGTCACCAAGATTTTCAAACTCATTGTCAGCGGCAACAAATCTGGTCAAATCGACAGCTTCAGCCCACGATCCACCCTGATCACCAAGTGCATCAAGGTTGTACATAGACATGACCTCCTCAGGCATTTCCTTGAGGCCCATGGCAGCGATATTAAGGCGACCATCGGTCCGTGCAGCAGAAATTCGTTTGCGGAGGAGGCCTTTACTGGCGTTTGGATCAATACGTTGATTAAAGGGGTCGTCCGAAAGACCGAAATCAAAAGTCGCCGTAGGAACTACAGGTACTTCGTCGTGATTACTCGCGGCACTTGCGGTTGCTGCAGCTCGCTTTGCTGCTTTGGCTTTCGCAATCTGGTCCCTGAGAGATGAAGATGATTTTGGCGCAGCTGGTTCTTCTGCTTTGTCGGTTGAAGCAGACCCACTGGGAGCTGATGTCACAGGTCTATGAGGAATGCTCTTGAAGTTCATTGATCTCTTTCTATCAATAGGACTGATATTGTCAATGGCAGTGCGTTTCTCTGTAACATCTTCACTGGGCGCCGATATAACAGACTGAGAAGGAATATCCCTGAAATTCATTGACCTCTTCCTTGGGTCAAAACCAATGCTGTCCGCCTCAAATGATTGGTCCATTAGAGGCATTGATGGTTTGCGAAACAGACCAGTTACAGAGGCACGCTCCTTTACTGATCGGGCACTGAATGTCTTGCTACCAGATTTTATTGTAGGCAGTCTCTCTGGCTTTACCGGACTTGGAGATCTTTGTAAAGCATTACCGGGGGATGGGAGCTGTGCTATGCTTCCAGGACTGAAGCTACTTCGAACCGTTGGCGTCTTGAGTGTCTTTGCGGGACTTGGTCGTTTCATCGGTGTAGAAGCTTGATAATTCGTGGGTGGAGGTCGGAAGGTGCCCGAAGATGACCTGAAATCAGTATTTGATTGAGCAGAATCTGCACTCGATGTTGGCCTTGAGCTGGCAGAGCGGCGAGATGGTGGTCTCATAAACCCATCATTTTGATAACTGGATCCAGGTCTGGAGGATGAGCTTGCGCGAGACACAGAACGTGGAGTAGCCGAGGGATTGAAAAAGTTCGATTGCCTCCTCCGAACAGCTGGTGATGGGGGAATATGCTGTAGTGTTTCCATCGTTCGTTCAGATAGGGAAGGTCGAGAAGACGAGCTCCCACTCAACAGCTCTTCATCATCGCTTATTACTGGAGAGAATCTGTGTTCCTTCACATCCTCATCCTCACTTGAAGTTGGCCGAAACTGTTCTTGTTCAATTGTTGGAGGCTTTCGGAAAGAACTATAGCTTGTCTTGGGCTGTATTGGCCGCGGGTGTAGATGACTGGCAGCAGGGGCTGTGATACGTTGTCTCGAGGATGTTGGTGCAGATAGTTGATCTCTCGACGTTGTGTTTCGCAAACGTGGATTGCTTATAGTACTCGAAGGCCGGGAAGGTTGCTGTTGCTGTCGCAAGTTTTCCCTCGAGGCTGAAGGTCGAGGGAGACGTGAAGGTCTAGGAAGACCAGATGGCCTTGGTTTGTTGACTGGAGTGTTGTCCATGATTGTGAATGTACTCGTGAAAGTAATAGTATATTCAATTAACAATCATACCTTGCCGGAGCTATGTGAATTCGTAAAAATCCGAAGATGACGCTCGAAGTAAACAAACAGGTTTCCCCTATAAACAAATGCAAGGTACGCAAAGGCGGCAGAAAAGGAAAGGGGAAAGCGATGGATAAACTACCTTAAGCTTCTGACGGCACGAATTGTATTGTATTGTATTGTATTGTATTGTATTGTACCTAGTATCAGCGAGAAGAAAAGAGACTTCTAAAGGTTCTCTCTCCTTCTCCCGATCAACAGATAATAAATTGAGTGACCGTGTCAAGAGCTGCTTTTACAAAGCGGATCTCTTATTGAAATCTCATTTCCCAATCGCCATAGAAGCTCAGTTCTCCGGAGAATAGTTGGTAATTTATTTATTACCTTGTGGGTTATTATCAATGATTAGGAGAACTGATGGTCTGAGGTGGGGGGGGGGGGGGTGCGCTCGGATTATGGGATTGGGAGATGATTAGTAGGTAGTAAGTACTAGGTAGGCTGAGGTACTAGGTAGTGTGATGGGTGATGGGTGATGGGTGATGGGTGATGTAGGTTTGACTGATAGTGCTACATACATTGTAAGACTTGCATGGCTTGAGTCGGGTTGAAACTTGAGACAGGATTATTACAAGTTGAGCTTATGAAGGAAGGCCTGATGGTTCATATAGTTCATAATAATACACCAAATAATACTCAAATGGGTCCAGCTGTCCGAGCTTGGGCAAAGCCAAGGATACTAGGTAGATAGGCATATGAATGATAGTTACTCTGTACATAAATAGGTACATGATAGGTACATGAGATATCTAGGATAGGCAAGAAGATAATAGCTATCACACAGTGCTACACAATAATAGCAACGAAAAAGCAATGAGAAACGAAACTCATATGTTTTTTTCTTCTCATTTATTAGTTTAGTATCTTGGTGTTTGATTGTCTTCATATATACCTATGTAGGTAGTGACATGCTACCTAGTACTTGAGTAGATCAATAACTGTTTTCTCCGATTTACATAACAGCACTTTCTATTTGACTTTCTAGCTACACCTGCATGTACAGCTGGGTAAACAGGGAGATAGTCAGTGTCAGCCTTCTTTCATCAATCTCCTCTCACATCGAACTAGCTTCAGATAGGCTTAGTGTAGCCTCATCCTCATCCTCATCCTCATCCTCATCCTCATCCTCATCCTCATCCTCAGCCTTCTACCTTTCAGCTTCCATCTCAAACTTCACTTCCCCACATGACCAACCATGACTATCAATCACCTTAGCAACAGAAGCTAACCCCAGTCATTTTCTGCAAACCATCGCAAAGCAAAATAACTGTCCCACCTCCAACCCTCTCTTATCACTCTAGCTTACAACAACACATCATATGAACAAATCTATCTCATTACCATATACACATACATACCTACATACATGCATACTACAATCGCGAGAATAACCTCTTACTTCTATTCTCACTTACCCTTCAATCGCATTTGCTCCCTTAGCATATCAGCGTAAGTTGTATCGCAATTAGTCTTGTAGCCATCGCAAACAAGTCGCCTACAAGTCGATCGCAAAACAAAATCCCTTCCGGCTTCACATTTCCTCAACCTGGGCGCGTTTGATTTCCAACACTACTCATACATCTGCGATTCCCTAAAGATATTACCAGCGATCGCGCAAGCCTAAGCAAGCTCGCAAATCAATTCCATTGTCCCTGGGCTCCGCACAGAATTGGGAAATTGTAATACGTTATCAGTCTTACATGTGCTCATATTTGCTAATATTTCCATAAGACATACAACATAATCCCCTCTACGAAGTACACAAAACTAAAACCAATGGCTTCCACTAGCTCATTCGACGATGCGTCGACTCCACCCGATGTTTCTACTGCCGTCCAACTCACTCAAAGTCTGGCCTCATCTCAAGATGAAGGTCCAAGTCGCTTACCTTCAACATCCCTCTTGTTAGCCGGCAATTCGCAAGGTGAATTTAGAGAATCTGAGTGCGATGACTCCTTAGCAGTAAAAGATATGTTGACGCAAAGTTCGTCATTCGGTCGACATATTTCATCATCAACGACCCCTCCACCATCGTCTCAGATATCAAATATTCATCAATCGCTCCCAAATCAGAGAATCGCAACAACTTCGCCATCTGATCTCGGATCTCCGCGTGCCACAGACTCAAATGGAATCAAGGCAGCTTCTTTTCCCAACATCACCCGACTACCGACTGCTCAAGAGATTACGGACGCGTCTACAGAAGAAAAGACAGAAATGATCAAGATGCTGATTTCCGACAACAGCAAGTTGGAGAACGCAATTCGAGAATCTCGTATGGAACAAGCACATTGCAAATTGCAAAACACGCTTCTGGCTCTAGAGTCCGAGGAGGCTATTAAGCATTTGGAGGCGGAACATGAATTGACGCGCCGAGAAGTCCAGGTTTTAAAACTTACATATCCGGGGAGAAGTGAACCCCATGCACCCAGTCCAGAGTATGTTTCAAGGCTCAAGGCCATTTGTAAGAGCCTGGAAACAGAGAACAAAACCATCAAACGTCGTCTCGAGAGAGCGAAGAAAGTAATAGAGGCAAAGGACGACCAATTGGAGGCCGCTAATGAGACAAATGATCGTCTTACTCAACGTATTCGCGAGAATCGAGAGCACATCAATATTATGCGCAGCCCTGGGGGTTTCTTTCATGTTGCTACGCCGAAGCCATCACATAACAGTTACCCAGCTACTCCACAACAGTACCGTCGAACGCCACATCAGACTCCCATGACCGGTCGCTCGATGGCTGAATCTCGCGAACATGGCCAAGAACCTGGATTTGCCGCTCTCTTGGCTGCCGCTCACCATGAAAACAATAGTGCACCGTCCACTCCTCTCATCAGCCAGCGTGCTGGCCCACACACCCCAGTCAATAGACATAATCGTGGTGTTCAATCCCTCTCTTCGTTGCCTAACACACCTCCTTCGGCGCGTCCAGGCACTGCGCAATCAACACTTCTTCCTTCTGCACAATTCATGCCACACAGTGCATCTAGGTTAGCTTACGCCAACCGCACCCCGAAACTCCCACCTCGCGAACGTCGACGCGAAAGTCGCGATAGTACCATTTCAGCTGAGGATATTGAGGAGTTTAATAGCTCTAGATTCGAAGGGCGCGGACGTGGGAGTGTGGGCCATGAGGAAATCCAAGAAAGCCGAGCTGCTCAAAGTGCAAATGAAATGCTACGCGCTAATCCTCGTGAATCTTTTGAGGTTGCACCTTCTAGAACCAATACTCCAAATCCTGTTACAGCAAAGAGTGAACTTTTGCAGTCCAAGATCTGGGGAACTGTCACTAAACCGGTAGTTGAGAAGAGAAAACGTGATGGTCATTATTCCTCTGGCCATTCAAACAAGAAATCGAGGGCTTCTGATCCTATTGGCCTTGGTATTGGTTACGAGGTACCCCGAGTTTAAAGTCTGATTCCTCGATATCCACCATTTTGTGGGATCTAGTTGGTGTCGTGACAAAAGATTGTACGATAAAAATTCTTTGCAGCCTCCTCGCCATCTTATCGTTTCATACTTCTCTGTGGACCTCTTTGTAAACTAGCATGTTCTCTTCACTTCTTACATCTAACTCTTTCAGTATTCGCATGAGGAGCATCAAGCATGTCCAAGATAATTAAGGAAAGCACAGTGTAGCATGCTAGAAAGGTTGTCCAAGCAAGGACATCTAGCTACCCAAAGCATTATATTCTCGCGACCGAAACGTGTTTTGGTGTTTGACGAAGGGAAATTGTTGGGTATAGCAAGGAGAATTTTTAGCGAGCATTTACCACATTGATGTCTACTGGATATCTGACCAATGAATTTAATGCCTTTTAGAATATTCTAATATTCTCAAATGATCCCTACATGTCAATCCAGTGCCCTTTTTCTCAGCCCGCCTCGTATAATTGTCACTCATAAGCTGCTGCATTCGGATCAACTTTGCAGCGGTCAATACGCGTCAACATATCCCCAAAGCCCCCTCCAAGCCATCTTTGGGATGCATATCGAATCACCTTGCTGACAAACGGTAATAATTTCTACCGATACGGACGTTAGATACTTACTAATTAGGTATGGACGGACATTGAGAAAGAGACACGATAATGCTACTCGATGGAAAAAGCCTTGAATGAATATATGGCTTTAGAAACTTGTCTGATCATGGAAAGTTGTGTCGTGTAGGTATATAGTTTGGGAATGTATGTAGTATTGGTAGAGATTAAGTCAGCTAGTATCGTTAACCACTGAGAGTTGGAAATAGATGCATAGATGGGTGTGCCTGTTACAAATATCAGTCAGTCATGGATACTATGTGTATACTTCGTATTTTCCGGGGATAATCCGGTTGGGTCCACCAATCAGATGGAGCTAGTGAATGTCACTCCATGTCAGCCATGCACCGATTCATCTCCTTTTTCTTAGAGTTCTCCTCATCACAGGTGAAGACGATCTGGATTTCGCAAGTTTTCATCTCGGAATATCTCATAAGTTTGTCGTGTTTGATTCTAGATTACCAATCCAAGTCTTACAGAAATACTATTATATCCCTCAAACTCATACGTTAAAATAAAGTATCTATCATCTTCCTTGTCAACACCCACTTTTTTCCCGCTAGTACCTTTTGAAACATTATTTCACCATTTTCAAACCTATCGGAACACAAATCGAAAAATACAGACTAGGACTTTACATTCGCAACCTTGTATCTCGTGCGCTGCATCACTCGTTCCTCTTTATTCATATCAGATTGCAAACGAGTTTGTGGCGCAGTATTCCTTGGCTCTACATAACCAAAGGCTTAAGCCCCTATAGCTGCATTCGCAAGTCTGTAGGATTGCAATCATGGTGGACAGAGTAAACACTAGCCCGCAATCTGGTAATGAGACGGGATCTGTTGATCTAATGAATCTGGAGAATGGAGACTCAAATACGAGCGCTCCTCCGGCATCGTTTGAAGGTGGCAAAGAGAAACAAAAGTGTTTGACTGAGGCAGAACAGAAAGAGATGACATCATCCATTGCAGATATCTTCAAGTTGGAGGAATCTGTAAGTGCAGAAGATATGGATATGGATGATGATGCCGAAGAGGTGGTGGACATAGAGGATAGAGAGAGAAGGACGGAAAGATTAAAGGCGGTACTGGGCACCTTGGCGCAATTATGGTGGCAAGATTCGACGTCAATCAATGAAGCTGCAGAAAAGCTGGCGGATGGAAGTAGAGATCGTGAGTCACCTTCTGATTTGCAAATATATGTCTATTACTTGAGTTTCGGTGTCACGTGGTCAAGTGGCTATTAGGATGTGATGGCCCATTCTTGAATTGTGCACTCAGTAATCTGACATTGTTCTAACTTTGGAATAGCAAAATGGCGAGTACCTCTCGGAGACTCCGGTACATTGAATTTCTTTCTTGAGTTATTAAGTACACATACTTTACGTCATGCTCTCAAACTTCAAATATTGCGTTTGGTGGGGAATTCTTGTGCGGATACAGGTAAGCTAGACATCCCCACACTATTCTATCATACTGACAACGAGATAGATGAAAACAGGGCTCGTGTGGTAGCGTCAAATTGTATACCCTTGATCATTTCTCAATTGTCAGATACCAATTTACTCGCTTTTGCAATACCAGTTCTCTATAATGTTTGCGTGGATTATGGTTAGTACAATCTAAGTTTCGGATTAATAGTTAACTACTAACTTCTTCCAGTTCCTGCTCAACAACATGCGTCTAGTGCATTTTTAAGCAAAGAACTCATTACACTGATTGCAAGTCCTAGATTCAAAGATAGCGTACATTTCCTTGGATACGTATGTAAACTACTCGATCTGCTTATACAACAACGTAAGTGTCATGTTTAATATCAGTCAATATTGAGACTAATTTGCGCAAAGCTTCCGAGCCAGATACGGCACCAGATGATACGCCCATGGTTCTATTGAAACTGGCTTCAGACCGAGAAAATCCAGTGGACATGGATGATTATATCGCTCTTGTTAACACTGCTGTGGCGTACCTGGGACACGAAAAATTCCAGAGAACATTGGTCAAAACTCCCCAGGCGCTCGATACCGCTCTAGCTGTTCTTGTCGATTCGTATACGCGATTCGATTCTCATCCATCAATCGGCCCCTCAACAACACACGAGGACGATGCAAAGCTATTGTCGCAAATGCGCATCAACTTGAATTCGGCCCTGTCTGATATCTCGGCCCTACCTGAATTCAAAGATGCATGCCCAGTTATATCTCCATTTTCTTCTTCGCTACGCCGATGGTTATCAAGCGAACAGATACAATTACAAGTCTGTGCTTGTATTATGTTAGGTAACCTTGCACGTAATGACGAAGCTTGTGGATTGTTTGTACACACGGCTCGAGTTCATCTACCCCTCATATCTATACTCAAGAACGTTAACGATTCGCAATTACTCCATGCTGCACTTGGATTTCTCAAAAACTTGGCGCTGCCTTTGAGAAACAAGGAAGTATTAGGAAGCTCCGGTACCTTCGAAGTGCTTCCTAGACTTTGGCTTCTTGACATCCTACAACCAATTCAATTATCATCCATATCTCTTAGTCGACAGCTTGTCAATGGTTCCATGGAAAACGTCGAACGAGTCTGTGCACGCCTCTCGACAGATAAGGATTCACCAGCTTACGAACGTTCAAACATTTCTCTCCTAATTGGCTTGTTCGATCGAACAGATGTAGAACCAATCAAAATGGAGATCTCCCGTCTAATTACAGCTGTATGCCGAGTCTTCACAGCCTACAAAGGTCGACCGGCTGAAGAACTAAACGAGACTCGAAGAAAATTTCTACTTCGCCATCCTGACATCGGACGGCCCTTAAGCTTCATGGTCTCCCAAACTAAATGGCCAATTGTCAGAAGCGAAGGATGGTTTGTATTCGCTCTCATGGCTAGATATCCAGATAGCGCACAGTGCATTAGCGATATGATGCAAGACGTAACCGTCTTCCAACCTCTCGTCGAAATGCTCACCGGTAAACCACTCCTCGAATACAGGCCCGCCCTTGCAACTAATACACCTTCATCAAACTCAAAAAGCGGATCTCCCGGATCGTTAGGTCTCGAGCTTCAAAGCCCCGAACCGGAACCCGTACAGCCTCACGCGCAAGCAGCGGAAATGGCACGTCTTGATCGGGAAAATGCCCTGGTGCTTGTGAGTGAGCTGTTGAAGAATCGAGGGAGAGAAATGGCGCTTATGAGACGCACGCTCTTTGAGGATTTGCTAAAAGGAGGTGGAGAATTAGTCATGAGTTATCGTCAGGCAAAGGAAGAGAATGGTCCTGGAGAGTGGAAAGAGTCGGATGATGGGGACGCGGGACTAAATCTACAGGGGGTGCTTGAGGATAGTATTCGCGAGTTTTCGTAGGATGGTGGAATTTCTTGTCAGATAAATGGTTGAGGAGGGGGGTGACAGGGGATGGAAAGGTTTAGATGGGTGTATCTGAGATGCTGTCGAGGTGAATACATAGCTGAGTGGAAGATAAATGATAAATGATAAGAAGAAGAGATCATTACTATTCCGACTGTCTTCATCCTAATCTTCATCCTCTCCCGTCCTGTTTGTTTGTTTCTAGATTCACAGAACTATGTGCACATATTAATCGATTGTGTTACATGCACAGATACCAAAATGATGAAGGGATAGTGGATGTATAATACGTAGCAGGAGCAGTAAGTTCCATGAAGTTAGATGAATCTGTTTGTTGGGACATAGTCATCAAATCGGCATGGGTTGAAGTGAAATGCATGGGGAGTCGCACCCAAGTGTTTTTGTTTTTTTAATATAGTATAGTAAATGAGCTATCTCGATAGACTAAATTGACACCCCTTAGAAACGACAATCATTCACCATCATCTAAAAACAAAAATCTCGATTTCCTGGCCCTCCTCCCCCACCATTCCCAACGGCACCTTGCACTTCTCCACAATCCCAAACCCTTCTTTCTCCATGAGCTCAAAAAATATCATTTCACTATCATGTCGCACTTTCATCGCGAGCAAAACTAGCGTTCCTGGGTTTCCATCTCTTACTCTGGTCAATGTGTGTACCAAATCTGGTACTACATCAGGATTATACGTACAATCCGCCACCACCACCAACTTCCACCTTTCGCCTCGCACATCTCGCGGAAGCGGGGCCGACCAATCTAGCACTTGGTGAGAGCAGGAGTTACAGAGTGAGACGTCTGAATCTGGTGTCATCGCAGAAAGATTCCTCTCCAGTATCTCCGAGGCTTCGGGGAGATCGGTGAGTAGGATGTTGTTAATTCGATCCGAGAAGACCTTCGCGAGCGTAATACCTACGATTCCGCACCCGGCTCCCAGCTCAAGAATATTAATATCTTGTTGCGTGCTCAGAAACTTTTCTAGAGTAGGCAGGGAGCCGACAGGCCGAGAAGAACTCCCAAGAGATGATAGATATGATGAGAGCACTAGACCCGCATCCCCTACATCATAAAAATGCATTAGTTTCCAAAAGAAAAAACATCCACCTACCTTGAACCCGAGAAAAACCTACAGATGTGTCTTGCGATACTCTCTCCCGTTTCTTCCCAAATATGAATTTTATCCCGTCTTCCAAAACCAGTACTGAAAACCCGTTCGGCCATACCCTCCGACCTCGTGGCTCCAGTTTTCAGGTCAAAACTCCTACTCCTCACCTTCACAATTCTACCCTCGTTCTGGCTTGTTCCCAAAACATGCTCCAGAGAATCGACACCATATGTATTTTCCGCGGGCCCCACAATCATCGTCGCCCATTGTTCCACTCCACGCGGTACTTTAATCGGTATCTGAATTTCTAAACTCCTCGTCCCATTCGTGCCTTTCCATATATATTCTTTTCCGCCTCCAAGACTTCTCCCATCGATTTCTATTTCCGCACGGAGTTTGACATCGGACATCAAATACGATTCGCCCAAATCCGTTGTAATGGTAATCTTCGCAGAGAGTATTCGAGGGGAAGATGAGGACGCGGAGGATGCGATTGGTAGCAGACGAGGCTGCTTGAATAACCGTATATAATGCATGATGTCGTATGGTATTTCCTTCCGAGACCGATCCGCAAAATGTAATAAGTATAACAGCCTTGTAGGAATATAGACAAGGCTAGAGAGATAGCTTAAATCCTTCAGCCTTTGAGGCTAATCTCCTCGTTCTAACTCTAATTTTCGCAATCGTTATCGCACACTCGTGTTCCTAAGGTGCGGCTCAGACATGTACCAACAACTAGTATGTAGATATGTATGTCTCAGCCCAGCACGGTAATTGCACAATCCGAAACTCCCGTCTTTCACCACAGATGCTTTCCCAGAGATTTTCTTAGTCGCCGTTTAACGTTCTCCCTTCTTGCATGTACATATACCGTGATACAGTGCGTACGCAATATTGTCCGCGCTGGTCGTAAAAGTAACCTAAACCTTACCAAAGCGTCCAATCCACTCACTCAATCCCATGCATCTCTCCCAGAGAATCCCTGGTTTCAAGCCTCTCTCATACAACTTACGCAGTCTCCCTTCCTTTCTTCTTCCGTCCAACGTTCCACGTTCCGCAACTAACCTTCTCGCTCCGTTACGTTGATGCTTGACGTAAGTCGTGTGGGTATGAAATGGTGAGATGCTTCAAGGAGACTAGGTCGTACTGGAAATATTGATATATTTTCTTCGTATTGCATGCACACTAGCTGTATCGTAAAAACATGGCAAATCTTCCCCCTCGTTTCAAATTCTTCCTTTCCCGTTTATCGACGCACCGCACCCACCCTTCACGCTAATTTAGCTTTGGGCTTGGACCATGTCATGTTCCTTCCTCGTTCGTTTCTTTCCGTTCTCACCCCTGAAGATTAAATTCCTTCCACGTTCTATTATATATATACCTAGGTACCTATATCTACAACCTGGTCGTTATTTATGGAGGCTCAGAACTTCTAATCTTGAATCCTTGCGTTTATTATCGATATTACTCTAATCTACTTTTGACAAGGCTGTTCCTTTTTCCTTTTCTTTTCCCTTCTAGCTGTTACATACATACATACATTTTTCTACCACGCCTTGCTGCAGGTCAGATTCTCTAACCCTTCCGTCGCTTACCTCTGTAGAGAGTATAGCTTGTGGCTGTTGTGATTCTACCATAAGAATGAACTATAAATAGTTCGTTATTGTAAATATGTGCACAGATGCAGTGTTGAGAAGAGGCACAGCTTCTTTGAGGAGGTGTGTGTCTGTGTGTGTGTGATACTGTACTGAGAATGGTATCGGATGCTGTGTGACCGTAAGCGCACAACATGGTGGTATGTGAGTGTTTTGGGATTTATCCACTTACCCTGTCTTGAGCATCATCCGTCTTTCCATTTCCAATTTACCGATTCATCTTATCCCAGATCAAGCCAGATATTGTCATGATGATGCTTAGGGTCCCCAATAACGGAAGCCTAAATGTGCATGTGATATTGAAGAGGTTGGCGCAAGAGAAATCCAAGTTTCTATGACTTCTCAAAATACTCCAAGAACGAATTGGATGATGAAGAAAGGGCTGTCTCGTCACCAAACCCAAACCTAAACGGTGCTGAAAAAAACTATGAGAACATCCTAGATCATCCAATCATATCACTATCTAACCGCGACAGCTGAAAATATTGTAACGGTTGTCCACGCTTGCTTTCGGTACTTTTGCTCTGCCCTTATCTAGAGATTTAGATCATTCATCAAGTGCCAACCCAACTGCTCGGGCATCGATGATTCATACCATATCCCACTATCCAGCTTTAAGCGCTACAACAACGTCAACATCAAATACTCTAATCTGAGATATCGACATATTGACATCTTGAAATCATATCAGAACAAACACATTTGCACAAGTAACCTTAACACACAGATACTGTTCGTGCTCTCCAAGAGTAATAGTCAGCCCGAGCATGGAAGGCCCGAAGAAAATGCTTCACAACATTTCCATTTCCATTCATCATTGCATGCGCAGTCCCAGAACGCAAGCGGCGAGTCAGGGGGAAGCACACATCATTTTGGAGACAGAACACTGCATCATAGTAATACAATCTCAAAAAGGGGGAAGACGAGACCCAGTCCACCTATCATTTTCCAAAGATTAAAATTTCACGCTTTCATGTAAATGATACAAATCTGCAAAAAGGTAAATCTTAGGTGATATTGGTGATATTGGTGATACCATTTCCACCCAGTATATGGCTAGTTGCGCTTACAAGGTGGGTGGGGTCGTCATATATGTAGATATATTATTCCAACGAATGCGAAGCCAACTCCGCTGACTGTAAGAAGATGGAGGGACGCCCCCCCCCCCCTCCCAAAATCATCTCCCAAGAGATGTTGTGTGGAATGGTGAGCGACAGTTAGTGCACCACACCAGCACACCCTTTCCCGAGAAGGGGGTCACAAATGGGCAGCCTCGCAGCTACATGTGATGGGAACACTACTGGTTCTGGGTAAAATCGAATGAAAATTCAGAAGAGACTAGGAAGAACTTGGGATTTGCTTGGAAGGACCATGCGATGATGATTTGTTCTACTCCCAACCCATCGCCGTGTTTTCCCTTCGAGCTGCATTTAGGGCAGCGTAACTGTATCCAATCTATATGCAGTATGTATGTATTGTCTAGTCTCGTCACAAACAAATCTACACGGTCAGAAAAGAAATGAAAAGAAGAAGAAGAAGAAAAAGAATGGTTTCCAGATCTAGACCTTCTGACATATCCATACATTTACTCACAACATTTGAAACATCGAACTATAATATATGATGTAATTAACTATTGAACATCGAACCAATCCAAACGAATTCAATCGATACAATACGACAAATTCAATAGCACGCAGCATCCATTCAATATTTCAGTAACTACCTAATTAAGCGAAAAGAACCATTTTGAATATCCTTCCATCGATCCAACCATCCATCTCATACCAATTTTCCATTTTCCATCCCCTGCATTCCACAACATCTCCTCCTTAGCCTTTCCATCTCCTCCTTTCCAAACCACATCCTCTATCTTCTATCCTCCCCTTTCCATCATGTAACCCCCTTCCAATCACGACTCCTAATTACACACACATCCATACGGTATCCCACAGCCATACCAACCCCATCCAATTCCACATCGAACACGCATCCGAAATCAATTCCACCATCCAGCGAGCCATCCAAGTTCCAAGCATCCAGCCAATTTCATCTCATGATTCTAATTCTTATGTGGTTTGATTTGATTTGATATTCCTCATAATATATAGATATATAGATAGATATCAATACCACAACTCAACTCAACTCAACTCAACTCAACCAGACCAACAGAAAAATAGATAGACAAATAAAAACAAAAATAAAAACAGATTCACTAACCGAAAAGAGTACCAAAATCCATGATATAATTATCTACTCACTCCCAAGATCTTCATACACTACATACATACATACATAGCACGTCGATCTCCCCTTCCCTTCCCTCCCCTCTCCTCTCCTCCCCATTTCCCGCCATGCAGCATGCATCCGCACCGCAGATCCCTAGATATTCATTTCATTTCCATCTTCATCTCCATATCAAAACTCGCTAAACACTACCATCCCCATCCCCATCCCCATCCCCAAACACACTCCAACTCCCTCATCCACCTGCGAATCTGCGTATTTCCACACTACACTACACTACACTCCCAACCCCAAACCTTAGATAACACCATCAACAAATACATCACCATACCATTCCATTCTAATACGCACATCCTTCCTCCCTCCAATTTCCCCATCTACCTGGGCACCTAACCTATATTTTCTTCTCCAACTCCAACTCCAACTCCATCATTCCTTTTGTGAACGTTAGACATTAATTACGGTAGCGAGCTAGCTAGCTAGCTTGGAGCATAGGTAGCGTGTATTCACTGTTTCTATTTTGAAACCCAAGGGGGCGAAGTGATGTACATACATACATGACACATGCATAACTGGTCTACACATCTGCATCGAAAAATGAAGTCATCAACCCCCCCCCCCCCCCAAAATTCTTTGCGATTACATGCATGAGTCAGTCAGTTTTTGGTACCTTACGTGAGAGGGGGCTCGTACAATCACAATGTTAGAGATTAGTCACCATGCACTCAAGTGTAGACAACATCCAGAAACTTATCAAATCATGCATATACACATAATTTCGAAGCGACGCAAAGGTGAAGAAGAGAAAATGTCCTTACCATGAATTGAAACTATTCGCAGCAGCCGATGATTGACAAAGCTAAAACTCAAACAGAAGTATATGAAGGGTATATCCAGACGATTACGATCTCTCGAAATCGTCTCCGTGCCGTGTGATGGGCAAACGCCAAAGCAAAGCCAAAGCCAGCAAGCAACCATGCCCCGTCGAGCTACTAAAAACTACTATTACAAATTTGCCATCGCCATTGAACCCTACCAATCCATTTCCCTTTCCCATAAATGCGTAAAAAATCCCGCCGCATGTCTTTAAACAACCGTGATAATCTTAGAAATAAAATTCAAACAAATCAATCCATCCATCCATCAAACTACATCCCTTTAATTAACAATCTCCAATGCCGATGGAAAATGCATAAACTTTTTTCCCAATCCGCCGTAATAAACATGCCTTGTCCAACATGCAAATGTAATCTTTTAGAGAGAGAAAAACCCCGCCCAATGCCTGACTGAACCGGAAAGTTTTGGCTTGCGCCTCCCTTTGTAAACCATCCTTTTTATCTTACAATGACTGCCCCGCAAAGCAAATGAGAACACATTCATAATGGTCCCATGGGTATCCTTTGATTCGTAAGAAATCGAGATGATGGAAGAAATAAACAAACTCCCTCCTTCTAATCCGTTTGTGTATGGATCCATAATATTTTTTTGTTTGCTGTTTAATGTATTTTAAACATGTGTATAGTGTATTTAAGCGTGTTGACCCGGCTTGCGGAGAATTTCTTCGCAGTTGGCGTCAAATCGCATGTTCCATAATCGGACTGATGCCATGAACTTCTCAGTGTGTTCAAGTTGTCTGTCGCGTCCGAAGATAGAGTCAACAAATTCGGTACCGGCGTTCTTGCCGAGTTGTGTTGTTGCGGACTTGGTTCCGCTTCGACCTGCCTTCAACATAGGTGCTTCGCATGCCTTGAGGAGTTTCTTCAACTTGTCTGTCAAGCGTTCTCCAGACTCGATGAAATCGTCGACCATTTCTCTGTTATCTGGTTGTCGAATGCGTGGCATGCACTCTTCTGCACGCTTGACTTTGCCGGCTAATTGGATGAGTAATAGCCAAAGTTCACCGGCCATATCGGATAGTGGGGTAGCAGGGCCGTGGTGGTAGACAGTCCAATCGTAGATCCACTTGCCAAGACTATTGGCGTCGAAAACACTGCCGAGGAGCATGATGGGTTCTTCGGTAGGGTCCCAGTTCTTCAACGAGTATCCGGCTGGGATGTGGTGTCGGCGCGCATCGGCTTCAGTGGCCTTTTCCGGGGGTGGTTGGGGTTTGGTCCGAGTCGATGTGGCCGTAGGGCGAGTTGCTCCGGGTCGAGTGGTCGCTGGTCGTTGAGGTGTAGCTGTAGTTGAAGTGTTTCGACGATGTCTGTATGGTGACTCAGGATCTTCAGCATACTTGGGGCTCTGGTTGTAATATTTATCAGTACCATGACTACTATATTTGTAAGTTGTGTGCGCCGCCGATCGACGAGGCACTCTGCACAAATATATTGTCCCGTCTACATCTTCTAAATATTCATAATATTCGTCGTCCTCGGCACCCCCATCAGGGGTTCGGTGGGAGTAAGAATACTGAGCCTTCGTCTCATGACGCGGCGGCGGTGATGACCAAGAACTTTTGTTTCGACTCACATTTGGACCAGCACCAGTGGCGTAGTATCCGTTTGAAGTAAATCTAGGAGAGAAAGGCCTCGCCTCAGTAGCGGACGCTCTATATGTAGTAGTATCTGCATAACTTGTATGTCGAGAGTGGGTTCGGAATGGGTGTCGTGAAGTATATCCCGGGGATCCAGATGGTGAACCGGCAGGCGAAGGAGAAGCGCTGGTCGAGAAGCCGTAGTAAGCGGCGCCCGGATGGCCGGGAGGTGTAGTGTATGAGAAGGACATGTTATCCTATTATGTATGTTGTGATGAAATCTTGAGAAGAGATGAAAGAATACCCTGAGAGTAAGAGGGTTGAAAAGGAAATGGAAGAAACACGAGAAAGGTCTAGTTTTTCGCGCCAATGGATCGAAGACGCGATAGAATGTGACAAGCCCGTCACCTTGGTATGTAGTCGGTACGAGAAGAAGGAGGAGAGACCTTTATCGTTGATCCACACATGTCAATAACTGCCGGTTGACTCCTTCAAAAGGATATCTTGGAAGAGAGTTCGGAGTCGAAATAATTATCTCGACTTCGAATGTTCTAGTAGAAGCTAGACGAATAAAGTTCGACAGCTTGAAAGATATTATCAATCGTGTGTGAGTGTATATGGTATTTCGATTCGGTCGGAATTGGGGGCAAAAAACTATCTTCCTTTTTCTCTCTCTCTTTCCCTCAAAATTTATTCGAGTGGAAATTCGATCGAGGAGAAGATTGTAAGAGGTTGGGGGAGTTCGTGTATTTTAATATGAATTAGATGTGTGCGCGGATAATTTTGGTTAAGGGTGGGTAGGAATTGTGCGTATGAGCCTAGTATGGGTCTTAGCCAGGGATAGCGAAATTATTTTTTTCTTTCCTCTCTGCAGCCAACACACAAACCCAACTCTACCCGAAAATGTGCAGTGAGTGCAGGACAAGGTTCGTGTGCTCATTCATCAGCCACAAGGGTGAACAGGAATATCCTAGTAATTAAATCAAAATCAAAATCAATTAATGAATTAATTTATTATAGATTCATCCTAGCCTGGAATTAGTATTAAAAATATCTTGATTTCCTTCAACGAGCTGGGAAAGGAATGCGATCGTGTCTTGATAAAATAATCGATTCAAGGGGGGGGGCGATGGGCGATGAGTCTTCCGACGAGAGGAAAAACAAGAAAAGGACAAAAGAAAGAAAGAAAGAAAGAAAGAAAAGGCTGTGCTGTGCTGTGCTGTGCTTTTTATTGATCTCGCGAGGTTAATTGGATGAATGCCCTTTTCCAAGTGAAGTGTGGGATGCTGAAGAGTGGATGATGATGAATCGATGAGTGGATTCCACCGATAAAGATAGCAGCACTTGTGAGTAATACTGATACAACAGAAGAAAGCTGGAGTACGAGGAATAATGATGATGAGATAGATATTGGTGGAACGAAGTGGATGGATGTATCATGTATGTTGATAATGATGAGTAGAGTGAGGAGATTGATTGGTAAGGTGTGATGAGTGTGAGGATGAATATGAGTACAACAGACAGGCACAGATGGTCTGTACTGTGTGGTAGGTCGGCAGGTAGGGTAGGTAGGGTAGGTAGGCAGTGGATGAAGAATGATAGAAAGAAAGTACTTAATCACATCACATACCTAGGTACCTAGAATATCATAGAAAAAGATACAACTCGGAATGCCTTTGCCTTTCCAACTTCCTGCAAACTTTTCCCAATATTCTCGTGGATATTGATTCTATTGCGTGGTATTGTTGATATCGTGTGTGGTGTGTTGTGTACTACCCACTATGACAAACACCCTTTCCCTTTCGACCCTTCTTGGTACTTTCGGAGGAATAGACTTTCGACGAATGAGAGAATTTTCATGTAATTATTTGGAAATTGGGTTGGGAATGTGCGAATTAACGTCGGGAATTGTCTAGAACAACCCTTTATCGTAATCGGTAATCGTGCGCGTCGTGTGTGAAAGGAACCCCTGGGGCGTAAAGTTGATAGAGATTTGGATTCAGAGTTGTCTGGCTTGACTCTTGAGTCTTGAGCGGGATGGAAGCAGTCTGTGCCCGGCAGAGTCGTCTTATCTCAGGGAAAAGTCCTCTCGTAGCGAAATTGAAGAGAGACAATGTGGATTGCACTATGCGCAAAAAAAGAAACTTTAAAAAGAAGCAGAATTCGAAGCTTGAAACCCTTCTATGACACACCAGCATGGAATTACTCCACGCACAGATCTTCGTAGCTTCAACTTGTTTTGGGATCAAGGTACCCAGACGCCAGAAATTATATCAACGGTTCAACGGGGAAGAAGTCATTTAGTTGCCGCGGCTTCTCGCGATACCGTAAAGTGAATAGCGGAGAAAGCGAAGATCGAAATTGTGGATAGTATGGAAGCTTCAAGGATCTAGGAAATTGAACGAAATTGAATAATATTGGGAAACCTTGGGAAACCTTGGGAGAACGAGGTTGGGACGAATGTGATTGGTTTTAGAGATTCCTGATTGATCGAATACAATAAAGTAGCTACCTCTGTAGTGTGCAGGTAAAGCTTGATGTACAGAATGAATGTGATATTATCTGGATCTTTTAAGGGTGTCTTCGTTTAAGGGTTCTCAGCATGAGAGGAGACTTTTGGGTGATGGCGATAGTGGTGGTGGATATCTTTGGGTGAATTCGATTTGCTTTCAGGCCATGTGGTGGAGGTTGTCTGTGTTCTTTCCATCCGTTCTTCTCAGCGTGGCAAATTTGATTGGGCGATTTGTAATAGTCGATATCGACTTTGGGATTATGAAGATCTTAATATTGTCTACTAGGTACCTACTAGGGAGGTATATTGACTGAAGGATTGCTCACGGAAGAGACAAATGGGTCGAGTCAAAGGTCAGCAGCTGATAAGATGAGGGGTTGAAAGCAAATCGCTGGTGGATGTTGTGAGCTGTGAGCTTTGAGCTTTGCGCACGACCTTGAAGCTGGCCACACTTATTAGGGAACCCTATGGACGTACGCGTAGTGAATCAATTCAAGACAATCAGGTAAGAGTTACACCGATATTTCCATACTGCGGAAGGCTGATAGGGTCCGAGGGAATTGACTGGATGTGGATGGATGGATGGATGGATGGATGTACACAGTGGAGGAAAAGACTCCTTGGTACAATACGAGGATGTACGGTATGAATGGTATGGATGTATGGATTGCACTTACATGCATGCAGGTTCAGTACCATTAGTACAATAAAGAAGGGCCCGTTTAAGTAATCTGTTGGGCAGGAAGTTCGAGGGGATTTGAGATTATCGATGTTTTGAATGAATAGATGTGTAATTGTGTTACTATCTACAGTAAGAGAGATAGATATTCGGAACTGCTAGGAGCATTCAAGTTTTTGTTGAAGGTTACCCCGTCCATCCTCTTTCCTCACTACCTACATACATCATGGCAAGTCTCAAAGAACCAATTCCCATTACATTGGTAGTATTTGAATGTAAGTGGACATATCCGGACGTTCCTTCGGAATATCACATGGAAAAGCATCTTCATACGTAGATGGATATTCACGCTCACGTTCACTTGCTCACCACTCTCCGCTTCGGGTAACACAATAAACTATTCAGGACTAGATTGTAATCCCAACTGTTCTTGTCATCTCCTCCATCTCCTCCATGTTCGTCAATATGGGTTCGATGCTCTTCGTCTCCGGGTTTCTTGGAATGATATGTACAGTAGTATTAAGCAGGGTTTTGAGGGGGCGGGACCCGTCTATGGATTAATTTATATCGAATGAAACCTTGAGGAGTGATAGAGTGAGAAAGAGCCAAAAGAGCCAGGAAAGCCAGGGCAGCCAGGAAAATCAATTTTATTTATCATTCCTCCAATCAAGATCCTGATGTGTACCCTGAGAACTTACGACTCGGCCTTTCTTTCCATCCAAACCATGATGCGGAGGATACCTATTACCTGCCGTGCGAAAGTGTGAACTTCTTTGGATGTCACGGAATGATTGAAGGATACTACCACCATCATAGTACCATGTCATTTCAATGAATCACACGCTGCCCATGATTTAAGAGAGAGAAAGAGAGAGAGAGAGAGAGAGAGAGAGAGAGAGAGAGAGATGTAGATAGAGAATATCCGTACTCGTATCACTGCCAAAGAAGAAATCTGTTCATTCCCAGTACGATTAATAATTGGCTTTTATTTAATCTTCAATCTGAGTGAGGTACAAAGATCCGAATGAAAGGGATTAGATGGTTAAAATGAATTTACGATAGAAAGAAGGGGTCACCAATTAACCGTAGGGTTGTAAGTTCATGGGAAATGGGTAAGGAAAAGAAAAGAAAAAGAAAAAGAAAAAGAAGAGATCCATACTAAAGTAGTGATGCATATCAACATGCTTTTGTCATGCATTTTATCTGCAGAGTTGCCGGACCTAAGCATCAAATGAGCCCTGGAACGGACAACCATGAATGGAAAATTCCACGGCGGCGGGTTCTTCTTGCATAGAACTGTTCATAGTTCATAATGTACACAGGCATTAAGAATTAGACCTAACCCTAATGAAAGACGAATGCAAGTGCAAGTGCTACAGCATTGACTAGAAAGTAAACACTACCTAGGTGGAGTCGTGATATGTATGTATGTATGTAATAATGCCTATGCTGCTATCTTGAGTACACACCTGTGACTTCTCTGGGTCGCCATTAAATCAATCGTTTACCTTCCTACGTTATCTGGTACTGGTACTTATCAATGGATGGTGAGACAGACTTATCGTTACTTCGTACATAAAATTACTGCCCCTCCTAACTTCTCAACCCTCCACAATCATCCACCAACAAAAACATATATGATATTATACGGCAGCGGTGATACCCATCAATTTCTTTGACTACCTAGGTATATTCCGAATCTTTCTACCATTGCGTCTCAAGCCCTGCTTCTTGGATTTATTGATTTTTGCAGAGTTTTCATCCAAACTTTCGGTGTGCGAATCTTCATCTATTTGAGTCAGTTTGATGCAAACCTTCCTTCACCGTCTCTATCACATCTTCTTATTTTCACTACTTGATCGGCTCCCTTACTGTTATGCATCAAAAGGCTCTCTACTTCTGTCCTTCTGAATCATGAGTGGCTGGAGCTCTCTATGATTTATCTACAGATCCTCAGATCTTATTCGTCTAGAGAATCCTTGTTTGCGGAAACCAACGTTGTACAGGATCAAGCAGCGAGAACTTACCCTTGTGCCGCTTCCCGTTGAGATGTACTCTAAAGTACTGTATGTACACACATTGGTTGAATCTCTTAGCTGCCTGCACCCGAATTATTGACCTACTGCTTAAAGAGAAAAAGTCTTTCTCACTTGCATCGATAGCATCAATTTTCAATTCTCCATACATATAAGGCTTCTTCCCACACACTGTATAAGGCAGTCTATGCACACGTGTCGTACAACGGAAGGCCCAATATGTATGTTGAATGACGTACTGTAGGGTCTAAAAAGCCCAGAATGAAAAAAAAAACATCCATCTTCCCCTCCAGTTTCTCAAGAGAAGCCAGACATTCTATCACGCAAAAAGATTAATTTTCGCATTTGCCGCAAAGAAGGAAAAAAAAAGTGTTAATTGGTGCGTATGACGATAGATTTTCATTTCTGCCCAAAAAGAAATTTTACCTGCTGTAGCCGTTTGGGCAGTTTATACGTGTGGGCGCAAATTCTGGACCTCGAAAGGGTCATCGGATTCAAGAGGCGCATTGAGAGTCACAAAAACGCACCCAATAAAAGTTATTGCGCAACTTTAGGAGCTTGAAGTATCAGCCTCATGAGACATTTCCTACCACACAAATCATACTTTGGGTCAAATTTTTGCTGTTTTGGGGGCCAGACAATATGATAGGTGATACAATAGGAGAAGTGCCCTTGGATTATAGGGTACCCGCGTTTCATGTCTTTTTTGACTCATCCTATCCGAATTTCTCGGAACGTGGTACTCGTTCAGCCTCAACCCGTGGATACAAATAAACGGGTGGCCGGGCGAGACAAGGCAAATGGTTTGCTTCTTAAAATGAGGTCGAGATTTCGAGACAGATGCTTGATGACTCCTAAATCCTTAATACGCCTCATATAAAGCAGCCTCTGAATATGCTGGAAGATCTTTCACGTGTTTGCTAATATTGCTCGTTCGTCGGTTGATCTACTACTGGTTATCACTATCACAGTCACTATCACAATTCAGTCAGGTGGATGAGTCTGTCATCCCGCCCTATTGATCGGTCAAAAGGCATACGGCCAAACTTGTTTTGTGGTAGGAAGAAATGAGGGGCGGGTTCCACCAGTCCAACCGAGTTGATGAAGCGAGATTCACATTGCGGGGTGGTATCCAAAATGAGGGTATCCCGTGCAGGAGAGTACTTGCTCACGTCACGTTGCCGTTGGGTTAGTGCTCACAATTGCGATTATCTCCGTTATCGAACGAGTTAGGACCGGAGTTGAAACCGGAGTGTCTTTCTTTATCTCGGAAATTTTGAAGGTTTGCTTCGTACAGCAATCGATTGTTTGACATCACGCACGAAGGAGGGGTATATTTCCAATTTTCACAGCATCAAGAGATACCTGTCATCTCTAGAAGTACTAGATCAGCATGACTTTACTCAAAGTCGTTTTGCAATATTTGGTTGTTTTGATTGAATCTGAATGGTCATGAACTGTACTCAGTATTTCAATGAGAATCCCGCTAGATTTTCATCGTCGATGGATTCAGAGATCAGTAAGTTCTGAGAACTAATCATCGTAGCTCTCATTTCTTGGGCCGGGCCTTTCTTGCTCAATTCAAATCCACAGCATCTACCCTTTGACTGAGAACATACATGTGGTTCTTCAATTAGACAGATACAATTTCCACGGTGAGGTTAGGTGTACACACATACACATGATAAAATATCATCAGATTCGTACAACATCAGTGTAGCAATTATGTCGGAAGTACAATGAGTTTCGTGTCATGAGTTATTTCACGGATTGAATCCTTATGGTTCCGGCCCAGATGAGAAGATAAGAAGATGAGAAGATGAGAAGATGAATGACCATACTCAGGCTCTCCAATAACAGTTTTCTATTTTCTATGCGATCTTGGTTTACCACACCTAAGGATTTCCATTTTGCTAATGAGTTACAGCGATCTTGGTTACTAGGTATGTAGCTGAAATTTTTCTATACATCGCCATTGACCTCTTCGAAGACCCGTGGGAAGTTCGCCACTATCATAAATACGGCCTCGTAATGTGCTGTCTAGACATGTATCCTATCAAGAAGGAGCTTCACACCAGCATTCTGTTGGGTTGGTCCGGATAGTTTGATACTAGAATGGAGAGCGCAAGCATTCACCTATTCAGGTGAAATCTAACCATCTAGAATCCTCCTTGAACACTGCAATTTCAATGGACTATCGTGCTCAGTACCAAAATAATAAACCCCTCATTCAATCATGATTCCGCCCCGCCCCAGGATTATTTACGAATTTTTAAATAACACTGCGTGAATATGATTGAGCTATTCAATCATTTTACCGTCGGATGACTGTCTGAAAAAAATCGACAAATATCATTACCCAAGGAAGCTAGCGCCGAACGGTACATCTTTAGCGCTACTCACTAAAAACGCCACTTTCCACCCAATTCCTTAGTATACACTCAATCAAAAACGAGGAAGAAATTTATATTCCTATCAGAAATTGGCCTGCATTGCGCAAAAAGGAATGAGAGAGTTTTCAGCTACGCGGCTTGATGGGATGACGAGGCTCGTTTTTGAGTCATGATGGAAAGTAATGAGTCATGTTTATTTCTTTAGCTATTATCCAATTGACAACAATCCACTGGAAGGCGATGCTTATTTTGATAGCGGAGGCATTTCTAAATAGAGCTTCTTATTGCGGATGTATCGATGTGTGTGGAGCTCAGTGTCTGATAGCAATTTTGATTTGGATAATCACAACAAGATTCCTGCTCTGCAAAGCTCTGGGTTGGGCAACGCCGAGTAGAGTCCTGGATGAGGCTGCAAGAATGAGGTAGGCAGGATTGAGCGGGGCAAACCTAGGTCAAGTCTAATGAGGTAAAGTCGAAGCAAGGCAAATCCAATCGTCAAGAGATGTTGCTGACGACGTTGTAAGTCGTACGTAATTTTTTTGGAGAAGGGCAAGACTAATGTCGTATGGTCACCAACTATCGTATTCTGTTATTGTCGATGGACACACATGGTAATTCAAAGAAAAAGTTGGATTCGAGGTTGCAAATCAACTCGAGTATTCTTCGTCTACTAATCAATTTCACCTCCGCACATGTATATCACATGTGAACTTATAAACTGTCAACGCGAGGGTAGAGTAAAATCTATCCATTCATATTTTTGCTTTCATATCTCCCCAAAGACCCGAGACACCTCCACTGGTGTCTTTAACCGTAGTTCACTGCATCATACTTACACAGCCATCCTGTCAAAAGTACCTCATCTCTCGCTGAGTTTCTATAGGTCCTCCTTCGTTTCGGACTTCCAACCTTTCATTTCAATTTAATCTCTGCCTTTCTGTTACCTATCCAAGTATCTCATTTCATCATCGCGATCTCTCCGCCTGTCAATACAAAATCAGTCAGGTCGTTGAACTTATTCTACCCGCCAGGAATGCAGTGATTCTCGGACGAAAGGCTGGATTAATTACTTGTCTTGTTGCTCCGGATGTACAGAAACTGTGCAAAATTCTCCTGTGTTTAGAGGTTTTGAGCACACGGCTTGGTGGACCAATATGTCTGGAGAGAATAGATGTATGCAAGAATCTCATTTTATCTCTTACCTCGTCAGGCAGTAGGCAGAATATATCTGGATATACTGTATTGGCTATCTTGCTATATACACCAGTAGATGAGGGGTTACATTTGTAGAAAAACCTCAATCAGATCATTTGTCTGGTCTTGAAAGGACCTTTAGGCCCTTCCCTGTTGACTGATAGCTTTGGACATTACTTGACTTCACATCACTATGTATAGATATCACATTCTTAACTACCTACCTACTCCCACATCATAAACACAAACATACAATACAAATCCCATTTCCACATAAACATAAACACAAACACCAGAAAAAACTATATTAATACACCCACCCAAGATTTCTAGCCCGCCAGAAATCCCCTAACTCTCTACTCCATTCCTCCTCTTCCCTTCTACTCCTCAAGAAAAAAAAAAGTGAAAGAAAGAGCTAAACCCATGCTGTCTCTCTACCTCTTCCGGTGTGCTCCCACCTCTACATCGCTCGCGCGGCCACTCGCGCATCTGCATCCTCAACGCGTCTTTGTGTTTCTGCGATGGGTGGCGCCAGCCGCAGAGCCAGAGGATGAGGATTAGAAGGGGGAGAAGCGTGCAGAGGCCTGCAAGGAGGAGGGTGGGGGTTATGGTGTTCATTTTTTTTGTTTTTGTTTTTGTTTGGGGTTGGGGTGGGGGATGGGTGGGGGATGGATTGGATGGGAGTGAGGTTGAGTGGAGAGGGGTTGGGGGAGTGAGGTTAGATGGGAGTGGGAGTGGGAAGAGATGGTAATGGGGATATAGGGGGGGAGTATTTATATTGTAGAATGGGGGGGGCGAGTGTTGTTTGGGCAGGATTTTGATGGGATGGGGATACATAGTTACTTTCTTGATGTTGAGTTTTTGGCTGGTTGGCTGGCTTTCTCTTTTGTTTGGATTTCCCTGGTTCTTTGAGTCTCTCTTTGTCCTGACCACGCTGTCTTTTTTTCTTCTTTTTCTTTTGTTTGTATTCTTTATTCATTGTTTCTGTTTCCTTTACCGATTAGGATGCGGATATTTGAGTGTAGTGCTTGATATGTGCATGCTTCATGTGTTGTTTATGGATGTGGGGAGTATTGGGGGGCTCACTGCTGTATATGCGTATGTTTTTGAAAGATGTGGGTGACTGATAAGAGAGTATGGGGTGCAGATCGATGGTGGTTTAGAGGGGTTGGTTTATGATGGCGAATAATGGATTATTGGAGTGATTAGGAAATTGAAGGTAAATTTTACTAGAAGGGGTGGTTGGATGATAAGTGGTAAATGATACATCTTCATGAATAATGTGGGAGGTATGTCCAGAGGGTTCAAGACCGTTTTAAGGCATGGTAATGAGAATACTCCATGCCCGTTTTCGAATATCAGATTGTGTTTACCAGCTTACTAAACAGGACCACCTGGATATACAGAAACCTTTGGATAGTATATAGAAGAGTCCAACAGATCAGGAAGACACTCGACGTTAATTGAGCTGAAGGTATCTGCCTTTCCCAGTCCAGCCATTCTGCTCTGGATGACTAAGCACACATCAAACTTCACACTACGTCTCGGGTTGGTCGAAGCGTGTTTCCGTATTGGGATCGTATTTCGGATTTCGTATTCGTCTATATAGTAAGTCTGGGGGTAAGATGGAGAATGAGAAAAGATGTGCCTACTCCATACCCACTTGGCAGGCTTGAAATAAGTACGTACACTCAAATCAGCGCAGTAATTAAGATGAGATGTAATCCCTTCAAATTCAGTGTTTTTGTATCAATCCATGTTTTTCTTATTGTTTAGTGAATATCCTTCACATATAATAACAACTTGTTCTTTCCGTTTTCGATCAAATAAATTCTCATTCATAAACTCGTCAAAAGACCGCCCACCGTACATTTAGATTGAGTCAAACACTAATTTACCCCTCCCCAGTATCTTGACGAACACAAGCTAGGCATCGACGACAACAACAATTTCTAGGAATCGAACACGTCGCTTGATCAAAGATCATTTCATTTTGACTTTCTTCAAATCTCAAGTTTGCCTGCTCGTATCTATCATATTGATTTAATTTCTACATTCCTTCTTTGTTTCTTTACTTCTTGGCGACGGTTACTTTAAAAAGAAAAATCCTGCGACACCTCATTTATTTCGGCTGGAGATGTGATATAGTGTCAACATGGATAAACAGAAAATCAACGCCGATAACTTCCCAGCGACACAGAGTGATGGAGACACCGCGACGCAGAGTAACGAGGATGAGGTCAAAGATAAATATTCCAGTCAGGCTCAGAACCAGACATCATTCAAGGATTTTATGGTAATATGTTGCCAAGTTCCTCGCAACGATTACACAAAACTAATAAATTCTGGCAGAGAATTTTTTCATACTCGACTACGGGTGATAAGGTCGTATTGACCATTGCATGTCTTGCACAAATTGGGACTGGAGTTGTATGTTTATAGCACTTGAAATTCATTGAAGGTCGCTTGACTGACTGATATTTTGATAGACTTTACCGCTCGTGAACATTATTTTTGGTAAATATATGTCCACTCCAATTGCAAATCATTAACTAAAGGTCATGGCAGGTAAACTGGTGGGCAATTTTTCAGACTACTTTGTACCTGGTACGACTACTACCAAGGCCGAATTCACCAGTACCATCAACAACCTTACGTTCGTGAACCGGTTTTCTTTTCAGTTCTTTGCGATCCTTTCTGCATAGTATCCGTCTCTATCCAATGTATCAAATGTCCATGTGATCCAAGGAATTTTTTATTTAAAAAACGGGCAAGTGTTCGGAGTTTCCAATAGTACAGGCTTACTTCACATTTGAGATTGGAGCTCTCAATGCTCCACAGATCTTGGATGTGTTGGAGCAGACTCAATGTACCAAGGGTTCCCTATTCATCATACGGATGCAAGTTGCAAAAGACTATCAATAGTTGTCATCCCATTGTCGTCGAGGTGCATTTTAGACTAGTGGACGCCCATAATGAATTCCATGTAGCTTGTCCGTATTGGGATTCGAACTCTAGAAGGCAACATATAAGTAGGAAGTACAAACTGAACTAACTTTTTGAAGCTTATTCGTTACTTACCTGTTCATCGCAAGATGGATTTTGAGTTACATCTCAATGTTCACGTTTCGTCTAGTTGGCCTCCGAATATCCGCCAAATTACGACTCAATTACTTGAAGGCATTATTCAGCTTACCTGTTGGTGTCCTTGATACTCTACCTAGTGGACAGGCATCAAATACAATCACAACTACTGCAAATACATTGCAAGTGGGCATTTCGGAGAAACTGGGAACTATTTTACAATATTTGGCAATGCTAATCACAGCCATCGCAATTGCATTCACCTACAGCTGGGCATTGACTTTAGTAACTAGCTCAGTTCTTCTATTTGTTGCTTTGGTCTATGGTAAGAATTTCCTCTTATCTTGCACTGAGTTTCCTCTATGCATTTGCTACCTTTGTCCTTTTTACCTTGCCAAAGCTGATGGTAATAGGAACTGTCATACCAATTGTTATGAAAATGTCAAAAAACATCGAGCATGCCGACGAGAAAGCCTCTGGAGTCGCAGGTGAAGTTTTTGGGTCGATACGAATGATTGTAGCGTGTGGTTCTGAAGATAGGACTGCGAAAAAATATTCTGGATGGGTTGAAGAATCTCGAAAGCGAACGTTGAAGATGAGTCCTTGGGTTGGTGTTCAATTTTCACCACGTACGTGTTTCCTATGAGATTCTTTCTCATTTACTTACTAACAACGATTCAGTCATGTTTGCTATCTACGCGTAAGTACTTGATTTCTCACTGATTTGACTCAGATCAGTGCTCATTTTTTTTCAACCACATTTCTTCTGCTCGCATGCGCCGACATCAAACTAATCATTGATACCAGTACAATGGCATTATGCTTTTGGTTCGGCTTTCGGCTTTTCTCAGAAGGCCACCTGGAGAATGTCGGGACGATACTAATTGTATTAATGTCCGTGGTGATGGTTGCAATGGCAGTGAGTCAAACAGCTGCACCCATCATGGCTGCTGGTAAAGCAGCTACAGCAGCAACAGACTTTTTCGCGGTAATCGACACGCCTAGACCCGATACCAGTGGGCTCAAAGAGCCTGAGGTATCAGCCCGTGAAGACATCACTCTCAACTCCGTTACTTTTGCCTACCCGAGCAGACCCCATGTCAAGGTTCTCGATGATTTATCGATGAGTTTTGAATCTGGTAAAATCACGGCTATCGTGGGAGCATCTGGTTCTGGCAAGAGTACTATCGTAGGTATGTGCATTTTTCATTATTGCATTCAATTCCCCAATGTTTTGCACTTTTTACACGACTGATTATTGACGACCTACGACTAGGTCTCTTAGAAAGATGGTACAATCTCGAGGAGCAACGAATAGTAATACCTCCAAGCGCCATGAAAGACGAGAAAAAAGACAAAAAGAAAGGAGAAGAACAAACAAATACTCCCGAGGAGTACGATGAGAAACAGGACCCAGTTGCTCAATCCGGTATTATTGCCTGTGGAAATAACGAGTTGAGATCCCTCGACCTCAGATGGTGGCGAACACAAATTGGCCTTGTACAACAAGAGCCGTTTATATTCAATGATACGATAGCTAAAAATGTTGAATATGGTTTGATTGGTTCAGAGTGGGAACTCGAAAATGCCGAAATGAAGAGGAAGCTTGTTATAGAGGCATGTAAAGAAGCTTTTGCTGATGAGTATATCACTAAATTGCCCTTGGGATATGATACACAAGTTGGTGATGCTGGTATCAAGCTAAGCGGTGGACAAAGGCAAAGATTGGCAATTGCTAGGAGTATCATCAAGCGACCAAAGATCTTGATATTAGACGAAGCTACCAGTGCAATCGATGTAAGAGGAGAGCAGATTGTTCAGGCAGCGCTAGATAAAGTGAGCGAGGGTAGAACAACAATCACGATTGCTCACAGACTTTCAACAATCAAAAAGGCTGACAAGATTGTGGTCCTGAGGAAGGGAAAACTTGTCGAAGAGGGAACCCATGAGGGATTACTTTCTAACCCGGACGGCGCATATAGTGCTCTCGTCAATGCCCAACAGTTATCTCTAGGGGATGTTTATCAAGAGGAGTCCAATTTAGTGGAGACAATGGACCCCTTGATACGGGATATGAGTGTGGCTGAAAAGGAGAAAGAACAAAAGAAAGCAGTGGCATACAAACCCAAGGGTCTCACCAGAAGTCTCGGACTTTTTCTGTACGAGCAACGCGCTCGATCGCAATGGTACCTGATGCTTGCCATAGGTGCTATAGCTGCTGGGGCCGCTTATCCTATTCAAGCTTATCTATTTGCACAGATCATTTCAGTGTTTTCATTGACTGGACCCAGACTTAAGGCTGCCACAGAACACTACGCCTTAATGTTCTTCGTTCTTGGATTGGGTGCTGGTATGGCTTGGTTCATCATGGGCTATTCATCAACCATCATATCTGGCCACATCACTTCCACATACCGTCAAGAGTACTTTGAGAGTATTTTACATAAGCCGATTGCCTTTTTTGACGCAGAGGAAAACTCCAGTGGTGAACTCACTGGTCGTGTCGCCAATGATCCAACACAACTTCAACAACTACTTGGTATTAATATGGCCATGGTGCTGACGGCGATTTGTAACATTACTGGTTGCATCATAATCGCTTTTGTGTTTGGCTGGAAGCTGACTTGCGTGGTGGCCTTTGTCGCCCTTCCTTTATTGATTTGCGGCAGTTTTTATCGCATTCGGTATGAAATTCAATTTGAGAAGATGAACCAAGCAGTCTTTGCTGAAAGTTCAAAATTTGCGGCCGAAGCAATCTCTGCATTTCGAACAGTCACCTCGCTGACCTTGGAGGATATGATTTGCATCCGTTATGAGGAGCTGCTGAAGTGGCATGTAAAGGGGCACGCCAAGAAGAGCAGATATTCATCGATTGTCTTCGCCGCTAGCGAGAGTTTGGGGCTGGGGTGTATGGCTTTAGCATTTGTGAGTTTTTTTTAATCATATTCTAAGGTGCTGTAGCATTAAGACACGAGCTTGGAGGTTGAATGCATGAAACGATCCTGAGATCTAGGGAATTCCTCTTGTTGTACTGCAAACCGGAACTGATCCGAACACAAAAGCTAATATGAGTTGCCTTTTAGTGGTATGGTGGTAGCCTCCTTGCTTCAAGAGAATATGGTCCAGTCAACTTTTTTGTGGTCTATATTGCTATAATAAACGGTGCTGAGAGCGCTGGAAGTCTCTTGAGTTTTGGTCCTAGTTAGTACTCTTGTGATGAACTTTCTTCTGCTCTTCGTTATTAATCTCGCGATAGATATGGCACAAGCATCGGCAGCAGCAAACAGAATATTGAGTTTTAGGCTACCGCCAAAAATAACTGGAAAATCAGCGTCGCAAATCCAGAACATAGAGGGCGGGGTGAAGATTGAATTGAAAAATGTCTGGTTCAAGTACCCCACTCGTGATGTTCCAATATTTACTGGTTTGAATATCACGGTAAGTTAAATCTGTAGTGAGGTTGATGAAGAGGATGCTGACCATCATAGATTAAGAAAGGCCAATTTGCTGCGTTGGTTGGGCCTTCAGGCTGTGGAAAAACATCAATTGGTAATTCCACATCTGTCATATGGAAGATAATCTACTAAATTCGATACTAGTCAGTCTCCTTGAAAGATTCTACGATGTTCAGAAGGGTAAAATATTATGTAACGACACCGATATCTCCGAACTTGATATTCGAGAATACCGGAAAATGATCTCGCTCGTAGCACAGGAGCCTATTTTGTTTGAAGGTACCATCAAAGAGAACATATATTTAGGAGTTGATGAGTCGACTCCAGAAGAAACCCTCCATAAAGTCTGCCGTGATGCCGAAATTCACGACTTTATCATGTCTCTCCCTGATGGTTACAATACTAATGTCGGTACCAAGGGAGTTGCTCTCTCAGGAGGACAAAAACAACGGATATCAATAGCTCGTGCGCTTATTCGCAATCCCAAGATTCTTCTTCTTGACGAAGCAACATCTAGTCTGGATTCCGAGAGCGAAAAGCTCGTACAAGCAGCATTTGAACGGGCGGCAACAGGTAGAACAATGGTTGTCGTAGCACATCGACTAGCCACTGTGCAGAATGCAGATGTGATTTTTGTGTTGGGTGAAGGTAGGGTATTGGAAGTGGGAGATCATGCAGCGTTGTTACGGAAGAAAGGTGTATATTATCAAATGGTAAGTCTTCAGATGCTCTTCGAATTCTTTCGCCCCAAGCCCATTCAAACTTCATTGTACTTACAAATCTCAGTGTCAATCTCAAGCACTTGACCGATAAACAGCAAAACGCCAGGAAGCAAAACATATCTCTCAGCTCAGCTTTCTTGCATTAGAAGTATTAATTTCCAACTATACGAGTGGGTAGAGAACAAATGAATTCCACTTAAATTCTGTACAATCACGATGTATAATCTAGAATCCTCTCACATATCCATCAACCTATGAGCTGGCATTTTGAGCTCGGTAATGTTGCAGTGCATATTTTGTGCATCCTGTGCATAAACTGACACGTAGATGTAGATCAATGTCCAATTCATGGTTTTTCATACGCTCCGACTTAGGAGGGACTTTTTTGTAGGTGATTGTAAGATTTTAAATTGGCTGGTTCTTGGTTGATGGTGGTGGAATTGAGTAGGTACTTGAGAGGTAATCGAGAGGTAATCGTGAATTTGAGGTTCAATTAAATAGTACACCGAGTCGTGATTTCGACCCACGCTATCCACTATTATTACATACCCACCGTGCACTTAACTCACTGCACGAGGGAGGAGCTTTGGCTGGGCCAATATGGTGGGGAGGAAAGAGAGGTGATTGCCACATTTGGTAGAGATGCATTACTGGCGCCGGGTAGAAAAGAATGGGTCGGATAGTTGCTACTTGCAATGGGTTCGAACTTTGAACATGTATTGGAGGGAGATTGGAAGTAGAGATTCATTGATTGATTGATCGAAGGGATGAATATTTCAGCTTGAATGGAACAAATGCAACTTGACTCAATCTACCGGCAAGAAGCAAGTTCGTCATGTCAAACTCCGAATCCAATCATCCAAGAGTATCTCTCATGTAAGGTGAAGAACTCCATGAGAGGCTTTGATATTCACCGCCCTGAAATGTTAAAAACTGTAAATAATCGGGGTCTCCTTGGGGATCCATCGAGAGAAACCCACCGACAACAATGTAGCTCTAAAGGGATGGGAAGGTTGTATTAAGAAACGAGAGACAGACTCCATCTCAAAAGAAAGACAGAGTAACTACAATACTTGTTCAGTACTTGGTAGTTTTCCTTCGATCTTACTTTATCACGATAATTCTCTCTTTTGTGTTATGACGAGACGACGACGACTGCAACGACAACAACAACGACGACTATAACGACAACAATACGACGATAACAAGAGCAGTAGCAGCAATAGCGATTCACTCTATCAACGATCATTTGAATTGATATATTCTTTTTCTTTTCCCTCTCTCTCTCTCTCTCTCTCTCTCTCTCCCCCCACGTTGACTTGACAACCCACGAATCTCGTATTATCAAGAAATCAAACTTCAGCTGAATGAAAAAATCATTTTAAAGATCAACATTGCTTGTGGCGTTCAATCAAGGATTACCCAGCGGTACACCACTAAACATCACTAAAATCCAAAGTCGAGATTCGCTTGATCCCCGATTGTTTTCCATTTGGCGCCTTTCTCCAGCCTCTTAATTAAAATTACAGCCCGCCCCATCTTGTGGTCTATTGTCCACAGTCTACCACAGTCTACCACAATTCACCACGGCTACGCTACCTCTCCACTTCTACTTTTCTACCTAGCTAAAGAAACGCAATCTCTAAATTTTATCTAAAGGAGCCAGATTTTGGTCTATCACAAGCTATCATCTGCGTCCCCATCCCCTCCTTAGTTCAATCATCTAGGGCGTCAAACTTAAACAATTTTACCATTGCGAATCGCCAAACCTTAAGAACACAATTGATAACGAATTTGGATAATATACAAAACGACGATTTCCGATTGACGAAATCATTTACGAAACTGGATGATATGTTAATGATATGATCACGAATGAATACGAACCCCGGAGCTGAAGTTGAGAAGAAGAAGTCCCTACCCAAGGGTACGGAATAATGGCCGAGAAACGCGATCGATATGGCACAGGAGGAGATCCATCGATTGCGCAGAGAGGAAATAGAAATGGCAATGGCAATGGGAATGGTAATGGAGGACGAGGATATAATGGACGCGCGCCTCCAAATTTGGGATTTGATGGAGAGGGGAGCTCAATTTCGGGTCGCGGACAAAATGATAGGAGATACGGGTCTATGCCCCCAAACACGCCCATGACGCCCTACACACCCTACACACCCTACACACCAGTAACTGCAGGATATGATGGTGGAGAGAGCTTTATTTCAGCAGAGACACCGAGACACGATCATTATTATGGTGGAGAGAGTGCGATTGGAGGACGTCCAGCAGTTACACCGGGAGCTGCAGGCTATCGTGGCGGAGAAGGCTCTTACAATGGTGGCACACCACAAACTGGGCGATTCAATGGCGGAGAAAGCTATGCCGAAGGCCGCGCTCCTAGGCCAGGAAGATATGATGTTGCTGAGAGCACTATGTCTGTTGATACACCGCGAACTGGTCGATTCGATCCGGGCATGGAAAGCTCTATCGCGCATCCCGATACGCCACGTACTGCTCATTATGATACCACTGCAACTACCATGTCCATGGACCCATCACGAACAGGAACATATGATAAAGAGAATACGATCACGGTAGCAGAATACTATGATCCAGAACGAGCACGAGAACATGAACGACAAATGATGGAGCGCGAGAAATCTGAACGAGAACGAGGAATGCGCCAACCTTCAGGAATGGAATACGGGCCGCGACCTACGGAATATTTGAGTACATCAGGATCATCTACTTCTTCGTACCTAGATATCTCTCGCCATTTTCCTACAAAAGGTTTTAGTTTCAGGTCTTTCTTCTCGACACCATCCGAAAAGTCTGATTCGAAGAAGAAAAAGGAGAAAAAGAAGAAGAAAAGCAAGAAATTGACGAAACATAACACCTCATCAAGCTCCTCTTTGAATGAAGATTTAGCGTTTGGAACCGGATTTCTCAGGTACAGAAGGAAGAGGAGTGTGAGAGCTAGGGATGGAAGAGACAGGCAATGGGAAACCATAGGATATAAGTCTAGCAAGGAAAACTTGAAAGATACTCGATCTTCCACGAATTCCAGACCTACAAGCTCGAAAAGACCCACTACCGATGCTGAAATTTTGGCTCTAGGTGCTGGAATTGCTGGACTTGCCAAACTTGCACTCGATCATGGCAACAAAGACGCCAAGAATGGTAAGAATGGGCGCGTTGGTCCTGAAACCGTTAATTCTAGTCGAAGGGATGAGCGTGGCCTCCCACCTTCCAAGGCCATTCCATACGAAACCGACCCTAATGATGAGGGATGGGAATCAGCTTCTGATGACGAGTCAGATTCAAGTGTTGATACTGGTTTGGCGTTCGGAGGTGGTAGTCATGTTGGCAAGAAAAGCCAGGCTGGCTTGTTCGGACGCAAGAAGACCCACGGCCCAAAGAGTCGAAAGAGTAACGTGGTCGATCCAAGACTCCTTGGGCCAGAGAATTCCCTCAATGGGTATTTATCAGATAGGGCTGTAGGCTTCGAAGACGTGCAATGGGAGTCGGGTAGTGACTTTGGTCAACACACTTACATTCCTTACAGCCATCCAGACAGACAGGTGGATACTTTGTATGTGCATGAAAGGGTCAGGATAAGCAGGACCCAGGGTGTTGGAAGTGGTTCACAGACCCCTCTTCAAGAAGTCTTCCCAGTCCCCACCAACGATCCCTCTCGATTCGATGTGGCGCGAGCATCTTCGTCCGAATACAATGCTTCTAGACCTGCACCAGTTCCAATTCAGCAGCCTCAACCCATCACTCCGGTTTCTCATAGTGTTTATCACGAGTCCAATTACGTTCGTTCAGAATCCGGCGGGATCTTGAAAAGCTCTTCTGATAGATCTAAATCTTTAGCTAGCGCGGCCTTAGCTGGCGTAGCTGGAGCCGCTGTTGGAGCTGCAATTGCATCTAGTCGTCGAGATGAAAATGAGAATTATCGTGATGATGATAGAAGAGACAATCGGAGCTATAGTGAAAGCGCTGTCAATCGAAAAGAGCGACGCTACGAGGAAGATCAATACTCAATTGCCGATAGCAGCGCGTCTAAACCTCGGGATGAAGACCGAAAAGAGCGCCGTCGTGATTATGACCAATCTTCTATCGCTGATAGTAATCTCACTTGGGATGAAAAACGAGAGAAACGTCGCGAGGAGCGAAGAAAAGATGATTCTAGAAGCTCCACTTCTAATTCTGATCGTGATAAGAATCGAGAAAGGAGTCGTGATGATCCCGATGCTGCTGCAGAGGAGCGAGAGAGGAGACGACGAGAGAGACGCGAAGAGCGACGTGCACCTGATCGCATTGAAGACAACTACGAAGAGCGACGAGCCCACGTACTCTCAGAAATATCGGCAATGGCTCGCACACCCGCGGACCCATTCCAATATCAAGTTGCAGATACACCTTCTCGCGAGGAAAGCTCTGGCCGCCAGGCTAAAGATCAACCTGCACCTGCTGTCGTTACTGTCGATCGTGAACCGGATTTCAATCGAAGGCAAAATTCATCGATCAAAGAATCATCTTCTATCTCACGCTCCGAATCGCGCACTGAGATTTCCATCAAGGTTGAAAAGGAACAGCGATACAACGAACATGCTAGAACCCTTCATGATGCCGAGATGATATATGAAGAAACTGAACATTCTACAGCTCCTATTGAGGCAGCAGCTATTGCCGCCGCCGCTGCTGCTTTGGCTAGGGAAAGTCGCCGAGAATCAAGATCATCGAAACGACGAGGAGAGAGACGAACTGACTCTGAGGATGTTTCAAAAGACGGTGATTCTGCCGAAGCCCCGGGACAATCGCACGATGAAGTTATGGCAGAAGCGGATCGAGCTTATCGTGAAATTCTCATGGCTAGGAAAGTTGCTGCAGAAGTCCGCCGCTCTCGCACTCCATCACCTGAGCGCTCTGTGATGAACAAATATGAAGAAGAGTCAGAAGAAGAACCACCACGAATTGTCACTCCTCCTGGCATGCATGAACGCAAGAAAGGTCCCTATGATGCACCAAATGCTGATTTCAAGCTTGATTATATCATGACGCCTAGAGATCTAAAAGTCTACAGCATTCCAAGCAGGCGATATAAGGTTGATGAAGCTGATTTGAAGGGTCCATTCATGACAAAAGATGCTGATGCTAAACTGCCTCGACCTATGTTGAATTTGATTCGGCCCACTCCTACTTCAACACCGTCACCCGAGAAACAGTTTGCCACTATGGCTAAGAATGAAAACGTGAAGAAGGAAAGCTCCAATCGGTCGGATGATCGCCCAGTTGAAAGACGCCGTTCTGAACCTGAGCCTGAACCTGAACGTCATTCTAAGACCAAGGATAGAGATGGAGAGCGTGAACAACCTTCTATACGATCGCAAGACGAGCCAACCCAACCCCAAGTTAGAGATCAAGTTGAGGATCGTGAACAAACCCCATTATATCGATCACAAGATAAGCCTAGCGATACAGCACAGGTCCGCGAACAGACTCCATCATACCGATCAAAAGAGGAGTCACATGATCAAGATCGTCCAAAACGCGATAGAAGAGACATTCCTCCCATCATTATCGGTCCAAGGGGTGATCTTATCCGCTCATCTGATGTTTCTGTTCCATCTCCCACTCAGTCCACAGTCTCAAAAGCTGTTACCTGGGGTCCAAACGAGACAAAACACTTTGAAGTCGAAAGCCCCACCGAACCAAAGGACGAGTACACTTCCGAATCCTCCCCAGAAACTCCTGAGAAGCCCAGATTTTCGGAGCCAAGATTCTCAGAGCCAAAGTCGGAGTCGCCGACTGAACCGAAATCCCCGAGTTCATGGGCCGCAATGGCAGCGGGCATTATTGGTGCCGGTATGGGTGCCGCAGTAGCAGGCTCAAATGAATCTCCTCAACGAGCCGAGCGACCTGAATCTCCTAAGAAACCTGAGCGAGCTGAGGTAAGTGAACTCGCTAGGATCTTAAAAGCTAGGGA